AACATGAGCAGAATATCTGAATGTAGAGTTGTTGTTTCTCTAAGGTGGAACCCTGGAAGTTAATGTTACTGATTGAGGCCAAGAATCTTTCTGTCTGAGATGGATTATAAGGCAAATGTTCAGAGATCTGATATGTGGCAGTAGGTTGACCTCACTGTGTGGGATGCCAAGAGAAAGTCAGTGTCTTTGAAACTCTTTTACACTGGGGAAAGTATTGGTTTTTAAGGGTAATAATGTCTGCTAGCTCCCAGCAGGTAATGCTAAGAAAGTCTTATCAGTTTGCTACTTAAAAGTTATCATCTCTGGATCTGTACAATTACTTACAAATGTAAAAGGATAAAACAGGTTGTTGAGTTGGACTGTGGGATGTGTACTTACTATTGAAACAACAGAACATTAAGGGTTGTTATAGGCTTTTGCCAACCTGTCCATTTGTGTGTTACCACCACCTCAAAGGCTCACCTGTAAGTTCGATGCTAAGTTAATGTTGAGACATTTATTTATTTGTAAGTGAAATTTGACGAGCTCTAGGCTTTTTAAAAAGAAATATTATTATTGTGGCTTTAAGCATTGGAAGCTTGTGTAAAAGCATCCGCTAGAAGCCAGTTTCAGTGGGTGTGCCCCATGGGTGTGGCTGCCCCATGAGTGTGCTGGGTCTATGCTCTGCTCTGGATTGCAGAGACTTAAGGGGATAGACGGTCCTCCATTGGAGCCCACTTTTTGTGCTTGAGGGTCTCCCTGTCAGGATGCTCTTGATCCAGATAAAGTCCTGAGATTGAAGGACCAATCCGTTTTAAGTATGTTCTGGGATTGAGTTTATGAATTAAGTTGATATTTGGTGAAACATTCTAGGTGATCATATATGAAATATTTCAGATGAGTAGGATTTTGTTATATTAGATGCTATTTCATTCATTAAAAAAAAATGTATCGTGTGTGCACACATGTCAGAGACCAGAGGATTAACTTTCTCCTTCCATCATGTGGGTTTTGGGGATCCAATTCAGGTCCTCAGGCTTGGCAGCAAGCTCCTTCATCCACTGAGTCATTTCATGGGCTCCAGTAAATGCTACTTTATCATTAACATTTAATATGTCAGCACACTGATAATTTGCTTTTTTTTTAGGCATTTGTAAGAATTTTGAGCCTGAAAAGCCCCAGAGGTGACTAATAGTCTTTCCTTACCTGTGTAGATGGTCTGGGAGAAGCCCTAAAATTCTCGGTATACAGTGAGTGTTATTTCCACTGGTATACGTATCAAGTGAGCCTAGAACATTAATTATGGATCTCCCCCCCCCCTTTTTTTTTTTTGTTTGAGTCAGTGTCTGTAGCTCATGCTGGCTTCCTCAGTGTTGAGATTATAGCCCTGCCTCGTCCAGTTTTAACTAGGGGTTAAAGAAACATTAACTATTTCATTCGTTGTCAGGCAGTCTTGCTTTTGTACCTGGCTGGCCTCAAATTGTTTTTGACCCTTCTGTTCTTACCTCCTGGGTGCTGGAAATGCAAGCATGTGCAACCATATTGGGCTGTGAAGAGTTGTCCTTTTTTGTACAGGTTCATGTGTGAATAAAAACGTGACAGAATGTATATGAAAGTCGGAACAACTTTGGAGTTGGTTTTTTTTTTTTTTTTTTTTTTTTTTTTTTTTTTTTAAATTTTATTTAATGTGGGTTCCAGGGATTTTAAACTTGTGGCACCAGGCTCACTGGCCATCTTTGTATTTTGAGATACAGCCTCAGAATCTCTGGCTGTCCTGAAACTCACTGTAGGGGTAAAGGTGTATACCATCATGACCCGCTCCACTGACTCTCTTCTGTGAGTTTTCAGACCAAAGAATTTAACTGATGCAGAATCTGTCTCCTTCCTTCCTCCTTCCTCCCTCCCTCCCTCCCTCCCTCTCTCCCTTCCTCCCTTCCTTCCTCCCTCCTTACTTCCTTTTGGTTTCTCGAGACAGGGTTTCTCTGTAGCTTTGGAAGCTGTCCTGAAACTAGCTCTTGTAGACTAGGGTGGCCTCAAACTCACAGAGATTCTGCCTTCTGAGTGCTGGGATTAAAGGCATGAGCCACCAACCCCCTGGCCTTTTTACTTTTTTCTTTTTGTGGGGAGAGATCTTTTTTCTTTATCTCTTTGGTAGTCTGTAATTTGCTCTTGAGTTTGAGCTATTAAATTGTTTTCTAGCACCTTGCCATCCCTAAAACTCAGTTTAGTTCCATAAGCTTCTAATTGAAACACTGTTGGAAGTCACCGGAGCATTTAATTTTCAGTTTTAGTTATTGTCTAATTTTTAAGGAAGTTTTGACCCTCTCCCCTAATTTGTATATTTTTGAGCTTTAAAAAAAAAAAAGACATGGCGATGAGATAAGAGTTATGTGTCTTTTTGTGTGTCCTGTCACTGCTGTGATCTGGGGGAGATTAATCCTTAGCCCTCTGCCACACTCTGGCTGTAGTCTGGGGAAGTTTTGTGTGTTCTTAGGGAATGTGGGCCTAGCAAGGCCAGGGTTGTGCCTCTGCTGCAGGCTGCAGGCCCACGGAAGGCTGCTGTCACTCTGGAGCACAGGGGACGTCTAGTGTATCTTCATCTTCTAGTTAGCCTCCTCTCATAGCTTTTGAATTCAATGTGCATTACTCTTGTATTTAATCTTGTTTTGAAGCAGAAATGTCTCCAGTAATTGAGCAAACTGGAATTTAGGGGGAAAAATGTGACCATCCCAGAACCCAGGCAACAGGTTGTTAATGAGAGAAAGCAAACACACCCCCAGGCTAGTAAAATGAGGTTATTTTTTAGGGTAGCAAGCATGAAGTTACCAGTAAGTATTTGGTTTTTTGGAAAAATTGGAAGCAGCAGTTAAAGTTTTCACTAGCAGGTGTGCACATTTGACAGTGATGTGCCCCAGTAGTGACCACTCTAGTTGCAGGACAGAGTTAAGACTTGTGGTTCTTAGTCACTCACTGCAAGAAGAGAGCATTTACCCACTGGTGCAGCGACTTCTGTAAGTTCTTATTTATTTTATATGTATGAGTCGCTTGCTGGCATTTATGTATGTCTGTAGATCACTCACATAGCATGGAGGTCAGAAGAAGGCATGGGGTCCCCTGGAACTTGAGTTACATGTGGCTGTGAGCCACTGTTCAGGTTCCCTGAAAGAGAAGCCAGTGCTCTTAACCCCAGAGCCATCTCTCCAGACTCTTCTTTCTTGAAGGAAGCCTTTAAATCCTAAGCAGTTGTAAGTGGTCAAAATGGATCTCATTCATGCTTCATCCATTTTTAGAAATGAACAGTTTCACAGATCTTCCATTAATTTATGTCCTGTTGTTTTTCCATAGTGTTTTCTAAAATTCTCAGGTTTTTCTTTTCCCCATAAAACCCCCCAAACATTTGGTGTTTCACTTGCATGTATGTGAAGGTGCCAGATCCCCTGGAACTGGAGTTACAGACAGCTGTGAGCTGCCATGTAGGTGCTGGGAATTGAACCCAGGTCCTCTGGAAAAGCAGCCAACTTCTCTTAATTGCTGAGCCATCTCTCCAGTCCCTTCTCAGTTTATTTGTATAAAAATTATTTCTAAAAAAGTTTTAAAAGATCAGATAGTTGTTTAGGTAACAATTGAAGAAATGAGTTCTTGAATATCTCTGGTTATATTGTACATAATAAAATTACTTCCTAAGGCTGATAACATTGTGTATTAATTCCAGACTGTGTCCTTGAGGAAAACAAAAATATTGATAGACAGTACAAGTTTTCTTTTTGGGATCATGCATCTATGTGTATACCAGAGGTTGGCATTGTCTGCCTTCATATCATATCTCTCTCTCTCTCTCTCTCTCTCTCTCTCTCTCTCTCTCTCTCTCTCTCTCTCTCTCTCTCTGTGTGTGTGTGTGTGTGGGTGGGTGGGTGTGTGGGTGGGTGGGTGGGTGGTCTCTATGTAGTCATGACTGTCCTGGAGCTCGCTACTGTAGACCAGTGAGGTCACAGATCCTCCTGCCTCTGCTTCGATCTCCCGATTTTTTGAGACCTGGTCTCTTATTGAAGGTGGGCTCCTGGTTTCTCCTCCATTTGGCTGGCCAATGAGCTCCTGGGTGTCATCTGACTGTGCACATTCCTGACCCCTCCCCCAGCACTGGGATTAATGGTGTGCATTGCCACGCCTGGCTTTTATGTGGGATTTGGGGATCCAGATTCAGGTCCTGATGCTTGTGGGGCAGTCACTTCACCAGTGAGCTACCCCACTTAGCCCAGAGTTCTTTCTTTAAGCAACGCGTGGCGCTTTCCTTTGGAAATGGAGGTGGTGTCCTTGTAGACACCCAGGTTCCATCAGCTTCATGTCCAGCAGTAAGAACCCAGACTGCCCCTTAAGGTGGTTACTAGGCTTGGGCAAGACTCCATTCTGTTTAATTCTAAATTCCCAGTCACATTCCTTCCATGATATTCATGTACTTTCAGAAACTTTGACATAGACAACAGTTGTCTCCCCACCCCAACAAAGTCTCACTATGTAGCTCTGGCTGTCCTCAGACTCATTGTGTAGACCAGGCTGACCTCAAACTCAGAGATCCACCTGCCTCCACCTAAAGGTGTGTGTGCGCCACTATACCTGGTTTAAACTGCAGGCTTTTGTTTGCTTGTTTGTTTTTTGAGGTAGGGTTTTTCTATGTAACAGCCCTGGGGGCTGTCCTGGAACTCACTCTGTAGACTAGGCTAGCCTGCCTCTGCCTCCTGAGTGCTGGGATTAGTGCCATGACTAAACTGCAGTTTTAAAAATGAGTTTTCCATTCAGCATTTGCTCAGGAATCAGCTTTGCTATTGGTGTTTGCTATACAAACTAGAATGTGGTTAATCGTGAAGTTGCTAACGGGTTAGAAAAAGGAATTAACAGTGCCTCCTTGTGATTGCTCTGTGTGTTACTGTGAGGATCAGCCCAGGACTGGTGAGTGTCTGCCAGAGCCATCTTGCTTATGCAGGACCAGTCCTGGGTTTATTAACACTTGGCTTTTGTGTTTTAAGGTTACGGGAAGTTTCAGAGAAGCTGAACAAGTACAATTTGAACAGGTAAGACTTTTAAGCTGTTTTAAGTTTAGCCATTTTTCATGGTTGAATGTGTTAAGCATCTGCCCTACGATGGCACTGTAGTCTTTTATTAGGAAAAGGATTCATTTTAAAAAATATTTATTTATTGGTGTTTTGTCTGTCCCAGTCAAGTCCCCTGGAACTGGTTACAGACAGTTGTGAGCTTCCATGTGGGTGCTTGGAATTGAACCCGTGTCCTCTGGAAGAGCAGTCAGTGTCTTATAACTGCTCCAACCCCAAAAGAATTCATTTTCATACGATTAGATTAGATTAAGAACCTTTTTTTGTGATGTAGCCCTGGCTATCTTTGAATATGTAGATCAGGCTGGCCTCTAATGCACAGCTTCAGGATTCAAGAAAGGTATGTGTTGCTGCCACAGCTTTTACTATTAAAGTTGGATTTTTTAAAGTTATAGTTTGTTTCCATAATGCTGTTTTTTAAACAGTTTGGCATGCTATGCAGCTGCAGTGATTGTGGTAGATATTATACTGTATTGATTGTTTTACATTTCAGTTTAGGAATTAGTTCATTTTGTTTTCAATTAAAAGGATAATTTTGCTTACATGCTTTTTTTCTTTTTCCCTAGCCACCCGCCTTTGAATGTCCTGGAGCAGGCTACTATAAAACAGTGTGTTGTAGGACCGAATCACGCTGCCTTTCTCCTTGAGGTAAATTATTCCCCGTTAAGGTAGAGAACTGAAAAATAAAAGTGATGTCCACTGGAGCATCAGTTCTTCTTTTAGTCAAGTAAAACAGGAGGTGCTTGGAGGAGTTTGCTTATGCCCAGTTCTCTTTCCATGTAAATTCACTGGCCCAGAGAATCTGGCAGAAATGATTTACTAAGCCTGGAAACTAGTTCATAAGAGAATGGGAAGACTCCTGAAGCCACTGTGTAGTGCGTACCCTGAATAACTCTCAGGCTGTCCTGTTCGAGGGGTTTCCTAACACCCTTTTGTATTCTTGTCATGTCCTTTAGCCCAGGTCTGTGCTTCCCTCAAGGGATGTCTTTGTCTTCTGAGTTGACAGTAATAGGCAGAATCTGATTACTGAATGAATTAAAACTATAATGTCTTTCAGAATTTTACATGTTTTCTTTGCTTTTAGGATGGCAGAATTTGTAGAATTGGTTTTTCAGTACAACCAGACAGACTGGAATTGGGTAAACCTGATAATAACGATGGGTAAGACGTTGTGTTTTGCTATGTTGAGAGCGCGCATGTGTATGTGTGCGTGTGTTGAGAATCGAACCTGGAGCATAGCATATAGTAGACAAGTGCTTTCCCACAGAGCCACATCCTCATTTTGGATTTTGCATTTAATGCACTGTCCATTTAGCCCTTAGAAGGTATTTCAGAAAACCAATGCTCTTGGTTATTCTCAAATGATAAAAAAGGCATGGTAGAAAATGACCAGCTGTGGTGGGAGTTTTGGAGGTTGCTGGTCTTGAAGTCCTAGTGCTCAAGATGTTGTTCTCTGCCTTCCCACGCAGCAGCTCGTACAGGTGTGTGCTGTTGTGCGTGGCTCACTGAAATGACTGTACATGTCATGGAAACTCAATTTGAAAGTAGTAGTCAGTTCCCCCCCCCCTTCAAATTTTGATCTTTAAAAATTATAGTGTATTAAAGGATGCTTCATAAGATCCAACTCCTACTTGATTGTTTCTTAGAAAAGCATGATCAATTTTAAAATGTAAAGAAACTTTACTGTTTACTGTTTATTTCTATTTGAAAATTGAGAAGAGTTTCTACTAGGAAGGGATGTGAGTGTTGGGCAGCTGCCAGCTGGTGTACATTTTTGTAGGAGTAGCCCAACAAGTCTGGCAGGTAGTCAGTCTACATGGCAGGTTCTAATGGGAGGTTCTAGCTGGAGGCCTGGAGGTGGCCTCCCCTCGTAGCCTGGGCTGTTGTATGATGATTTATCTCTTAAATTTCCCTAGGTCAAAACTGAATAGCAGCTCAGGGGCTGGGAGGACTTCTAGGCCTGGCAGGACGAGTGACTCTCCGTGGTTCCTCTCAGGCTCTGAGACTCTGGGCAGGCTGGCAGGCAATACTCTGGGGTAAGTGGAACCAAAGTATAAAATGAATAAAAACACATGCCTAGAATGTGCAAATAGCTTCTTTAATTTGGTGTGTTCGTGCGTGCCCAAGTGCCTGCTCTGGCTATCCTGGAACTAGTTCTGTAGACTAGGCTAGCCTTGAACTTACAGAGATGTGTCTGCCTCTCGCCTCTGCCTTTATTATGGATAAAAGGAATTGCACATTCAGTACCATCTTGTAAAACTCAACCAGCACTATGTGCTTAGCATAGCATATTCATCTAAAGCATAGGTTGGTTAGAAGAATGCGTATGGTATTTATGGGGCAGGTATTCAGTTTTAACTCTGATAGGTTAAACAGAGTGGGGAACCCCTAGATCTGCTGTAGCAACAATCACAGTAATGGGTAACAATGCAGAGTTCCCAAAGCAGAGGTTGTAAACTGTCAGCTGGTATGCTATTACAGTGGATTGAAACTATTGGTATTAATTTAAACAGGTGAATGCTTTTGGTAGGCAGATAGATATTCTCTACTTTTTTTTTTTTTTTTTTCATGACACCTGCTTATACACCTCTTGACATTTAGTTTGTGATGCTTGTTAAGATTAGCATGGATATATGTGTGAGCTTAGATAACATATTCCATCAGATTTTTAGCATTGCTTGCTTTGGAGGAAAGGTATGTACTACTTGTTGGGAATAGCAATTCATTTCTTTTGTGTTCGTTGGCCACATAGATTATTAACAGGACTAGGACATTTTTAGATGAAATTAGTAATTAGGTTCACACAATAAGCTTAAAGTGGCACTTTCACAGCTAAGTGGGACATAAAGTCACTCTGCTTAATATATTTCTTTAGACTCATTGGTGTAGTTCTCCCACATTTTGCATATATGTATAGGTGTTTGTGTGTATGTGCGTTTGTAGGTGTGAGTGTGCTTGCATCCTTGTGTGTGGATCCTAATGGTCAAGCCTCTTCCTCAGTCACTCTCCTCTGTAATTCCTGCAGCAGGGCATTGAACTGAGTGTTACCTACTCAGCTGGGGGGTCCTCCTATTTGTGGACTTAACTATCTCCTCAGACATGCCCCTTTCCCTTTTGTTTTAGGTAGTGTCTCAGTGTGTAGCCTAGGCTGGACTTCTCTGTCTCCTGAGTGTTGCGATTACAATGAGACACTACCATGCCCACTTTTGTATGCAGGTCTTCAATAAAGATGGAAGGGATGTTGTATTTTTGTTGAAAAGTGAACTTACATTTACATATTACAAATTTAGACAGTTATTTAAAAGTTTGTTCCAGAATTTTACTAGCTAATGTACAAGAATGAGCCTCAACATGTTTTCTTAGAGTGACTTGTTTAAAATTTTTAATTTTACAAATTATCCACTGTTTAGGAGCCGCTGGAGTTCTGGAGTTGGGGGAAGTGGAGGAGGCTCCTCTGGTAGATCATCTGCTGGAGCTCGAGATTCCCGGAGACAGACAAGAGTCATTAGGACAGGGCGAGATCGGGGGTCTGGACTTCTGGGCAGTCAGCCCCAGCCAGTTATCCCAGCGTCCGTCATCCCCGAGGAGCTGATTTCACAGGTGTGCTCTTTCAGAACCTTTGTTGCAAAGGCAAGAGGGGGAGGTGAGGTGGAATGCATGGCTCATAGTCATGACTATGAAGAGTTGAAAGAAAAAATGTGGCTTTTTCTTTATCGATTTACAAGGCTGACTTTAGTAAGTAATAGAAAATTAGCATAGCACTATTCTTTGTTTGTTTTAGGCCCAGGTTGTTTTACAAGGCAAATCCAGAAGTGTCATTATTCGAGAACTTCAGCGGACAAACCTTGATGTAAACCTTGCTGTAAATAATTTACTCAGCCGAGATGATGAAGATGGAGACGATGGGGATGACACAGCCAGTGAATCTTACCTGCCTGGAGGTTGGTTTCTCTTCTGGCTGAGGACTAGGATTTTAAAGTAGAACTGTGGTTATGTCTGCTTTTTGGAAGGTGGTGGATATTTCTTGCTATATAATTTGATTATAAAGTGCCTTTTAGGGAAAATAATTTTGCTCAGTGGATTTGTGCTTGATCCTAATTAAGACATGATTATATTGATGGATTTATCCCTAGGTGACATATGGGATGTTGTTTTTGATGATGTCATTACTGAACATTAGTACTTTCTAAACTGCATTTATAGTTTGTATTTTGTTTCAGTGATGTTGTTAAGTATCTTAAAAGTAGTCTGTAATTTAGTGAACAGAGCTTGTAGCAATTATGCATGTGACAGTCCTTAAGATCTGTTTATAATGTTAACTTTATTTCCTTTTTTTTTTTTTTCATTCTGTTGAAAACACTCCCTGATTTTAATGTATTATACTTCTTAGTGATCTTTTAGTGGTCTGGATGCATTATCTGTAGCTGCTTCATTTATCTTTGTTTGCTTTTATTTGTAGAGGATCTTATGTCTCTTCTTGATGCTGACATTCACTCTGCCCACCCAAGTGTCATTATTGATGCTGATGCTATGTTTTCTGAAGACATTAGCTATTTTGGTTACCCCTCTTTTCGTCGTTCATCACTTTCTAGGCTAGGCTCATCTCGAGGTAATTTTGCATTTATTTCTTTTTGATTGTGATCTTGCTGTGTGGAAAGATAGTGGTAAACGCACCTGTATCTGAACTCAGAATATTACAGTCAGGTGAAGTCATTCTGCAAAACACAAGAGTATTTCAGAGAGGACCTTATATTGCATAGCACATACCAAAATCTATTTTTACCTAGTAAGATAGATTTCCATCTAACTAAAAAGCAGAATTCTAGTTCACAGTGGCATGCATCATTCATAAAAAAAAGTCTTGTTTGATTTAAGCAACATAGTCCTGCTCATTTTAAATCCTGAGTATTAAATGAATAGACATCTGCTTGTATAAGTTTAAAATCTTTAAAAGGTTTGTGAATATATATATGTATATAAATATATATATATATATATATATATATATATATATATATATATTTTTTTTTTTTTTTTTTTGGCAGATTTTGAGTCACTTAAGCCAAAACCAACCTCTAGTTAGGCATATGTAAACTTACATTATGAGTCAGTTAAATTTTTTTTTTCCTTTCCAGAGTTCAAAACTGCTTGATTTAAATAATAGACCCAAAAACAAAATAAAAAACAAATAAACAAACAAACCCCCCCCCCCAAAAAAAAAAAAAACCTGATTACTAATAGTAAATTAGAAAAGATGGCAATGTTCTGTTATGGATGACCTTGCTACAGGTCTTAGGTATTTAGAAGTTGAGTCTTTAAAACTCCCACATCTGTGAGTGGCCAGTTCACCTGGACACATGTAACTAGCAGTTTAAACTCTACTGCTTTAAAAAGATCAAGTGTGGAATTTTCAAATACTTACTTTTTGACATTAGCAACTCATTCTGTGTAGATATTTTTAGTTCGAATCATGTCAAATAGCTAGTACGTAACCACTTTTGACTTGGGCAGTTTGTAGTTTTTGGGTAGTTTTTTTTTTAATGGTGTTGGGGCATTGAAACCAAAGCCTGTCAGTCACATGCTGGGCAGGTGGTTTACCTTGAGCTATATGCCTAGTCCCAAATGCAGCAATTTTATGAGGTTCATCTACCTAGTCTCTAATCTTTCTTATTAAAAACTTGGAAAAGTTTCTATTTACTATGTTATTTATTTTTTTTCAGGACAGGGTTTCCTTGTATAGCCCTGGCTGTCATTGAAATCAGAGAGTCACCTTCCCCAGAGAGTCACCTTCCCCGGCCTCTCCCAGGGCTGAAAATAGAGGTGTGGGGCTCCACGCCTGGTTCTTTTGACTGTGACAGCTGAGATGTGGCTTTAGATCATTTGAGGCCAGTTTTAAGGACAGCAAAAAGACTTCTCTAGAAAGAGTCCCCCCCCCCCCACCCCCATACTATCATTTTCTCAAAACATTTTAAATGACTTATCCTTACCCATGAAGTCCATCCTGTAAATTTATCTTTAACAAGGACTTGAGTTTTTACTTTATCCTGTTATATTTATAGTTCAACCTATTTAAACACCAAACCTGGAAGATTTGTAAAAAATAATCTTGGTTTGTCCTTAGTTATACTTTCGTTGCCGAGATAAGCACTGTGACCAAAAGTAGCTTAGGAAGGAGAAGGTTATTTCAGGGTTCATTTCCACCTCATGGTCGGAGGGGGTCAGGCCTGGAGCTCATGCAGGGCAGAAGCCAGGAGGAGCTGCGCCCCCGCACCGGGGAGGGCTGCTGCTTACTGGCTTGTTTCACATGGCTTGCTCAGCACACTTTCTTACAGCACCCAGAGCCACACCTATCTTCTCATAGCCCCACAAGGGGCTGGGTGCTTCCACGTCAAGCCCCATTCAGGAGTCTGGTAGAGTCATTTTCCCAGTCGATGTGTTTTCTTTCTAGATGACTGTCAAGTTGACATAAAAACTAGTTGCCCAGTTTGCTTACATGTATTTATTTATAAATTCTAGTTTATAAATCAAAGACTCTTATACTGTTTCTAATGATAATATGAAATCCATATGAATAAAGTAATGAAATAATTCCAGACTGTTTAAATCCATTAAAAAACAAAACACTAAATCAAATAATTTTACTCTAAAATCTGCTCTGAAAGCACTAGAATGCCTCTGCATAGTTTCAAAATATACTAGTTGATAATTGTTGTCCAGTCACTTGAAGGGTTAATGCTTGACTATTTCATGTCAGCCTAATTAGCTATTGCTTGTGTACATTTTGAGTATCTGAAGTGCTGTTAGCTGCGTCCTGCAGGGTGTGTACTAGAGAGTGGCTTACTTTTATCCCACTGGTGTGACCCGATTGCATACCAGTTCTCCTTCTTCCCTTAGAGAGAGACTCGGAGCTTTTGCGGGAACGGGAATCTGTTCTACGATTGCGGGAACGAAGGTGGCTCGATGGAGCCTCATTTGATAATGAGAGGGGCTCTTCCAGCAAAGAAGGAGAGCCAAACCCGGATAAGAAGAGCACACCTGTCCAAAGTCCAGTGTCCCTGGGGGAAGATTTGCAGTGGTGGCCTGAGAAGGTATTTGAGAAAGGTTTATACTTTTGGGTAGATTCCTAACAACCTCCCTTCCACTAAAGGATCTCTGGTTTATTTATTCTGGTTGTTTTAGGACTGTTGGAAGAGGCAACACCTTTAAAGTGCTCACCTGCCTTTTGTTTTAGAAGCAGACCACTAGAGCATCTTCCGGAGCATTGTCAGCCATGCACCACATGTCCAGTGGTGTTGCTGATGGAGTGAATCAGAGAAATTGGGGTGATAGTGTCAGTAACCCATGAGTACTTGTCCTCCAGGACATCACAGAGATTCGGGTGGTAGTCTCAGTAACCAATGAGTACTTGTCCTCTAGGACATTACAGAAATTGGGGTGGTAGTCTCAGTAACCCATGAGTACTTGTCCTTTAGGTGGTGCACGCTTTTAATCCCCGCACTCAGGAGGCAGAGGCAGGTGTATCTCAGTGAGTTTGAGGCCAGCCTGGTCTCCAAAGCTACACAGAGAAACTCTGTCTCAAAAACAAAAGAAACAAACAAACAAAAAATTGTTATGCTCTTTGGTGTAGAGACTTACTTTGCTAAATATGAAGTGTCAGGTGGACCCTAGTTTCTACAGGGCAAGCTCTGCTCATTGATGCAACACGCATGCCAGAACAAGATGTGTTTATGGAGTTACACAGCTGTGTCTTTGTATGACAGTAGGTTGTGACAGACCCTTTGATAGATTTCTACAGTAGTAGATAGACTAGGCTACATGAGAACGGGACTAGGAAAATAGAAAAATAATTGAATCCAGAATTCGTCTAGGGTTTGTGATGCTGGTTTGGGTCTTTACAAATTCATTTCTACCTCAAGTGAAGTGTGTTCCACTGTCTTAAGTGGTTAATTCATTTATTTTCAAAGGCTTTTTTGGAAGTCTTTGATCTTTACTCATTAAGAAACTATACCCTCTGTTTCTACATATAGTTGAGTGGGACGAATTTTGTTTGTTTGGTTGGTTTTTGATACAGGGTTTCTCTGTGTAGTCCTGGGTGTCTTGGAACTCTCTATAGACAGGCTGGCCTTTGCCTCCCAAGTGCTGGGATTAAAGGGACTAATTCTTAAGCATAAATAAACTGAATTTTTGGCACACACCTCTGATCCTAGCGTTTGGGAAGGTGAGGCAGGAGAATCAGGAATTCCAGGCCAGGCTGGGCCACATGAAACCCAGTCTTGAGCAGGGAGAAAGGGTGTGGGGCAAGTTGGAGGTTACTCTCCAGCAGATGAAGAGAGTTGACCTGTTTATTCTCCATACATTTGAACTCAAATTTGGGGGAATATTAAACTTTCCAGATTTATGTTTTTTTTTTTTTTTTTTTTAGTTATTAATGCAGTGAATATATTTTTTGCTACTTAGCTCATGTGGGAAACTTGAATGCAAGAGGGCACTTTAGTCCCTGTTTTTGGATTGTTTTTATTGGCAGTTAGCATATTTTCCCTCAATTGTAGTCTCTTAGTTCTCAACACTGGAAACATCCCTGGTTCCTTCTCTTTGTGTGGTACTGTTTAAACCATTCAGTACGTCTTCCTCCCTTCCTCCTTCCTTCCTCTCTCTTCCTTTTTCTTTCCTTTCTCCTCTCCCCTCTCTCCCTTTTTCTCCCCATCTTGTTTTCCTCCCTCCCCCCATGTGTTTCTCTCCCCCTTTTCTGTCTCCCTTCCCCCCTTCCTCCTCCCTTTCCCACTTCTGTGGGGAGTCAGATGTTCCGTAGTTGTCATTTCTCTTGTCTGGGTTCTTAGAACTCTGTCCTTGTTTGTTTCCACCACATTGTGAGTCCCGAGGAGGGAAAGGCTTGGGAGGGGTTGAAGGGGGCCAGTGTATAGCACGGGGTAGGAGTGGGACGCACATGGTGCCTGCCATCTGCTGAGAACCGAGGGCCCCCAGCTCAGGACAGTTGGGCATGTTGTGTGTAAGCTAACACTTGAGAACCAGAGCAGATGAGAGCCTGGCTCCGTCATATTGTCCCTTCCTTCCCTGTCACCTGTGTTTGTTGATTGCCGCTAGAGGCCTTTGCTAGATAGTGGGACTGTGTTGTTCATTTACACTTTGTTCATAAAGCTTCAAGTCTATTGTAAGAGATAGATTATAACCACTTAGACATATTAATACTTGAAATGTGAGTCTTTTCTTACCTTGGTAAGATTTTTTAAAAATTAAATTTGTTAGTTTTTACACACCTAAAAATTAATTAATTTTAGGAAGGGTTTCTCTGTGGAGCCCTGGCTGTCTTGGATCTCACTGGTAGACTAGGCTGACTTTGAACTCAAAGGAATCCACCTGCCTCTGCTTCACAAGTGCTGGAATTAAAGGCATGTGCCACCACCTGGTGCATTACTTTGATAGGATAATGTGTTTTTACATTCTTAGTTTATCAGTATATGAAAAGATAGTCTTAATTTTGTATAGTTACAGTCATTGGAATTTTTATAGCTTCTGTTTGAACTATTTGGTCTTTTTTTTTTTTTAAACTTTTCTTTTATGTGTATTAAATATTTGCCTGCATGCATGTTTGTGTACTATGTGCTTGGTGTCCCTGGAAATCAGAAGAGGGTGTTGGAAAGTTGTGAGATGCCATTTGACTGCTGGTGTTGAACCTGGGTGCTTTGCAGGAGTAGGCAGAACTTTTAACTACTGAGCCATCTCTTCAGCCCTATCCTATTTGCTGTAAACTTTGAGCACTTCACATTGATGAGAAGACTTCCTGTTTCTGACAGTGCCCACGTGGCTTGTTAGAGGTACAGTCAACAATGAAACCAATGGTGTAGGGTTCCTGTCTCTTGAAGTAAAAAAATTAATATATCTCATTTTATATTCAGGGAATTACTTAATTCACATTTTTTAATTTTGTATACTAATCTATTTGTTTATTTATTGTGTTTATTCCTGTGACGTGCATTTGCACACAGAGACAATGGACTCAAAGGTGATGAAGTCACCTTATAAAGGGGTGTGCATTCCCTTACTCATTTCGGTGCTACCAACAATAGCTAAAATATAAGTGTCTATTAAACACAAATACATACACACACCCCTACACCTCTACCCAAGTTGGGGGTAGTCAGCAAAATCTATTTGTCACAAAAGGGGAAGAATTAGAGGAAGTCATGTCAGAAAAGCCAGAATACAATTAGTTATTGCAGACATGAGAAATATAGTGGAAATAGCTAGCATGTGTACATACATGCACATACATAGCATAAATGTCTGGAACTCCACTGGAGGAGCAGTTAAACAAGTAGCTGTCCACTGGCTCAGTTACAGTTGTATGAGATGAGGGTCTGCTCAACCATGGTGGCCGTTTACCGTAATGTGCTGGGACCTCAAAGGCCTGCAGTAAATTCCACATGTCCACAAGTAAGCTCATGATACACGACAACTCTGCCTTGGCTCTGATAACACATACGCTGAGTTTTAAAGGGCTCTTCCACTCTCATTTGCTGATCTCCCAGGAGGGTGTGGTGAAGGCTGTCTTTCTGGAGGAAATACAGAAGGGATGGCAGGTCCGCACTTACTAGCAGTTTTGTCCCTTACCATCCTGGATGCTTTAGTTTAGAGGAAGTAAGTACGTGTACCCCTACCAAGTCTTTAAACATGAAGGTGTGCACTTTACCTGTTTCTTTGACTGTTGGTGAGAGGAGGCTGACCTATGACGTCTGGCTCTGTATTTGCTATTGGCATTATTTGCTATTGGAACATACTTATTAGCTGTGTTGCATCATCTTTATCATGGTTTTCAGTTTTGGAAGTGGAAGCTTGTTTTATTGATACTTAGGAATGTCTAAAAAGTGTCCATTAAAAGTTCACTCCATTCAGCATGCCTGTGATCCCAGCACTCAGGAGACGTGTGTGTGTGTGTGTGTGTGTGTGTGTGTGTGTGTGTGTGTGTGTTGAAGGACAGCTTGTGCTTCATAATGAGTACCAGGCAAACAAGACAGCAACAAAGTTTCCAAAGTGTATAAAAATGTACTTTGATGAGATGAGTAAAACAAGACAGGATCACATAGAAGAAGCACAAGAAAAGGACATTGTTTAAAAGAAGAGATGAGGTGGAGTAGCCACAGTTGACCACTTGGCATGACAGAATCTGTTGCTGCTGTTCCTTTTGGTCATGGTAATATGCTTTACTTAGCTTTCAGTGACATGTGAGTAAGTGATTTTTCTGTCCCTTTCATAGGCTGGTGATTGTACCATTTATCAACATTGTCCATAGCAGAGTTTCAGGTTCTGATAAGCCCAGGTACTCACTCAGGACTTGTCCTGGTGAACAACGGTCTATCATGGATGGAAGTCATTTTTTACTTGCTTTTTAAATGAATAAATAAGTTCCAAGGAGGTCTTGTCATTGTGCTTTTACAGTTAGGAAGGTTCATTCGGGGTTAGACTGCCCTCGACAGGCTTTATGGAAGATGTTGGGGTTCAGGTTTATATGTTCACTGCAGCCGGTTGGTGTGCTTTTGCTCCATGCCATGAGTCATGCTGTCTTTTTGTAACACAGAGCTCCCACAAGGAGCTCATTGTGAAGCAGGTACAGCAGAGTGAAGTGATAGCAGCTATACTGAAGGTGTGAAGAAAGTTCTGTGTGGATGGAGTGGGGAATGACTGGCCATTTTAGAGATTGGAGAAGGCCTTCACAGAGGTCTGATGTTTAAATGCTTTTTGAAGCGAAGTGGGCATTGACCACAATTGTGCACATGGGATGTTTGTAGAACAGTGAATGAGTGGAATTCCTGCTGCATTCAATGAAGGAGAGTTGCCAGGCTGGAGTATATTGTAGATGCCTGAAGTCAACTTGCCAAGGAGTTGAGGTATTGATCGTGAGTGACTCGTGGTCCCACAGAGTATAGAGATTTGTTGTAATGAGATTGGTGAGGTTTTGTCTGTGTTTAAGGAAGTGAACACCGTTGATGTTGTTGTTGTTGTTGTTGTTGTTGTGTGTGTGTGTGTGTGTGTGTGTGTGTGTGTGTGTAAAAGAAAAGGGCACCTAGTTAGCTGTGAGCATGTTTGTAGTATTGTTGGGCAAACTGGGAAGACCTTAATCTGACTGGTTGCTAGATTGATGGCAGAAAAAGACCAGTGGACAGGGTACACAGTGGGTGATGGACCTCATTAGTGGAGTTGGGCCAGAACCACAGATGAGGGTGGGCCTTGTAGGAGATAGTTGAGGATACCCACAGACTTGGGGATGTCTCAGTTTCCATGACTCTTTGAGAAGCCCATCCTCATGCTTTTGGGTGTGGCTTATGTTTTTCTGAGTCCTCTCTCTTTCTCCCTCCTTCCCTCTCTCACTCCCTCCCTCTCTTAGCTGATACTGAAATGTATTCTATCCCAGTTCTGCAGGTAAGCCTGCATTGTAGTTTAAAGCTTAAGTGTGCTTGTTAATGTAGTCACAGAGGCTGAGGGTGGAGTGTAAGGGGGCAGTGACACAGTCTGAAGGAAACATAGTCTGGTGACAGTTGGAGAAAGTGGTTGGTGAATTGAAAATAAAGGGAACATACCAGTCCACAGAGCAGCTGTATAGGTCAGGCTATCCCTGAGCTCTCGATCCTCCTACCTCAGCATTAGGACTTAGAGGTGTGTACTAGCATACATGGCTAGCTTGTAGAGTTTGTGGCGAGCAGATGGATAAAACATATAGGGTATCCATTTGGCACTGGGAAGTGCTATTGTATTTGTTTCAGAAAGCTGATAAGGTGAAACGGCTTAAGTGAGAAGTCAGTTTACCACAAGGCAGACTGAAGGACAGGCTAGTTTGAGGGGTTGTTGTGGGGAAGGGTTGAAGAAGGGGCTGTGTTTAGTGCCACTGTCTGTGTGGCCTTTAAAGAAGGTAGGAGGTCTCTCTCTGGAGATGGGAGGTGCTAAGAGATTAGAAAGGATTTTCATTATGCAGCACAGAGGTAGAGATATGCAGGAAGCCTGTATCTGGGAGCTGTCATCATTTGGGTATATAGAAGGTGAAGTGGAGAGCAGCATAGTCATGGCTGAGTATGATTTAGCACTTGTTTTATAGTAGGCCCTGTGCTGTGTACATTGCTTATTAGTTCATACCCCCTCCCAGATAGTTGTTAAAATATATTCATTTCAGATGTGAAAAAATGTGTTTAGAGAAATAACATAATTGACATCAAATCACTTTAGTAAGTAGACGTAGATTTTGCCATTCCATTATACTTAAATTTGTTGTTATTGTTTTTGTTTTTGTGAAAGGGTCACTCTCAGTAGCCTTGGCTGTGACTCACTCTGATCTGCCTGCCTTTGCCTCCTAAGTACTGGCGTTGAAGATGTGCACCACTACTGCCTGGCCATTGCATCACATTTTAGCTAAAGGATTGAGAGGAGAAGGTAGGATGTGGTGCAGGTGGTGGCCTTGTGACGCCCATGCTTTAGGGAGTGAGGATTTGGTGACTTGAATTAAAATTTCTGTTGGGTGTAATTCGGATGCCATCTGTGAGGTGACTTGAAGTGAAGTGGTTGGTGCAGATCGATCAGATTCAGATCAGGGTGCTTCTTATTTATACATTCTCACAATGACCTGTGCTGAGAGCCCTGATAGATACCCCAGTTAGGTCACACTACAGCTGAGCTGACCAAGTGAGGTTGTGTTAGTGCAAGTTTATGCTCCTTACAGTCAGTGCTGTTTGTTTTTGATAGAATTGGGTCCTAGTCTGCTACATTGTTGCGTGTCTTTCCCCTTAAAATGTAATGAACCTTCACCATAAGAAGCTGATAGGGAGATTGGGTTCGGCAGTTTGGAAGTGTCTGCAGGGAAGGTGTGTGTCTCTCTCCCCTTCCCCTTTCAGCACACTTACTGAGTATTTTCTGTGAACTGTTCTGAGGTTACAGTGGCAAAGAAGATCTTACTTGTCTCAGATAGGCTGATTAATATTCTGAGCTGTGCAATGTCCTATGAGCTAAGAACTGGAACTTCAGAGTTGGTGAGAGTCTTCCTAGCATAGACTGAGGAGAGGACGTGTGTGAATTATCTGAAGTGGAGGCAGAGACGTGTGACATCCTGTGGATATGGTCCTGAAAACAGGAAACTGAAGGAGAACATGTTCCTGAAAGGGAGCCATGGGCTTAAGAACTTGAGATCATGGTTTACTTGCTTAAGAAAACAGTCGAGATTTGTAGGGATTAAAAGCAGCATCTAAACCAAGGGATTTGGCATTTTTGCCTTCACAGTTTTGTTTTATTTTTACTTCATAGGATGGAACAAAATTTACCTGCATTGGGGCTCTGTATTCTGAGCTTCTCGCTGTCAGTAATAAAGGAGAACTTTATCAGTGGAGATGGAGCGAGTCCGAGCCTTATAGAAGTGCCCAGGTACTTGTTACATCAAATCTTGAATGAATGACTCTACATAGCAACATAAGAAATAGTAATTGTTTTTCTTATGCTTTCAAAGAATCCTTCATTACACCATCCACGAGCAGCATTTTTGGGGTTGACCAATGAAAAGATAGTCCTCCTGTCTGCAAATAGCATCAGAGCAACTGTGGCTACTGAAAATAACAAGGTAGGAACCATTCTGCATTGATGAACACTTCCTTCTTTCCTTCTTTCCTTCTTTACTCACTCCCTTCCTTCCCTCCTTCCCTCCTTCCCTCCTTCCCTCCTTCCTTCCTTCCTTCCTTCCTTCCTTCCTTCCTTCCTTCCTTCCTTCCTTCTCTGCCTCTTTTCATCATCTTACTTTTTGCTGTAGGTCCATAATAAAAGCCTTTTAACATTTCCAATAATCCCATTTTTTTTTTTGTTGGTTAATTTATACTATAATTTAACTCTGAAGCTGTTTACAGTTACTTAGTACTGTACATGGGCACATGGCTCACATGTGGAGGTAAGATGGCAACATTTGAGAGTCAGTTCTCTCCTCACACATTTGTGGGTTATGGCGGTTGAACTTTTAGGCCCGTCCTATGAGTCTGTATATAATATATAGCTCAGTGTTTAAAGTGGCTCTCTACTGTTACTGGAAAAAAAGGTACCCAAGAAAAGCTACTAGGGGAGGTGCTAAGATGCAGGAGGAGCGCGCAAGAAGCTATAAAAGATTGATTCAAGGTGTTGATGCTCCACTTCACCTGAGGTCAGGCATGTCAGGGTGCTGTGACTGGAGACAGGCCACAGGATGACTTTAAAGCCACTGAATTTTATTACACATTCTTGGAACGACAGTGGTGGCTGAAGCTGTAAGATCACAAGTTTGAGGATAGCCTAGACTATAGTAGAACTTGTCTCACTCGCCCAGCCCCCAAAGAGGGATGAGCACATTTAGTCTTCCTTAGTGTCTTAGAAATGGTTGGAATTTGATTTACTTTCGTACAAAGTGTCTCAGTTTTAATTAGGAACCCTTAAGTTTTTTTCCTGTGTATGATGAGTCTTTTGCATATGTATTGGTGCACCATGTACATGCTTGGAGGCCAGGGTAGTATAGGAGGGTGCTAGGTCTCCTGGAACTGGAGTTCCAGATGACTGTGACCTTCCGTGTGGGTGGGAGCTGAAGAGCCTGGGTCTCTGCAAGAGCAGCAAGTGCTCTTAATCACTGAGCCATCTCTCCAGCCCCAGGAACCTTTTCTGAACTACTTGTTTTTGTTGTATTGAACTGTAAACATTTTAGACTTGGAGTTGATAGAATGCATTATGCCTTACTCTAGTGTTGACCACAACTCTTTGGGGAAAAGACTTCCTTAAGCCTCTACTATAATTTTTCTTAGGTTGCTACATGGGTGGACGAAACTTTAAGTTCTGTGGCTTCTAAGTTAGAGCACACTGCACAGACTTACTCTGAACTTCAAGGAGAACGGATAGTTTCTCTACATTGCTGTGCCCTTTATACCTGCGCCCAGCTGGAGAATAACTTATATTGGTGGTAAGTGTCGTTTACAGAGAGTTCTTGTCACAAAGAAAGCAGTTTGGAAGAGAAGAGTACCACCTTGTGGTCATTGAAAAGGCAGTGCTTTGTAGAGACATGAATTGCATTTAAATAGTAAGAATAAATTTATGCAAATAGCGTATACATAGCAAACATGTTATTAAATTTCATGAAAGCACAAAATGGAATAAATTGTACAGACTCCTACAATGCATAATTACTGCTAGTATTTGCAGGTAATTTTAATCCTTCTGTATGCATACATGTACTTCACATTAACACAATTGTAAATTTTGGGACATATGTTATTTAAAATTTTGTTGCTTGAATTTTTCTTTATTATTTATATTATATAGCTTTATTGTTAATAAGGCTCAGAATTTATTCTTTATGTATTTTTAGTAATTTTACATTATCAAAAGCAATTATTTGTAAGAAAAAGTTACTTTCTGTAGAATTTAATCCTAAATATTTAATAAAATGGATCCAGTTATTAATAAGGTTATGAACAACGTGAAGTGAAACTGGAAGTAGTTGCAGATTAATACTACTCTGAAATAAAAAATTTGGAGAAGCAGTCTACCAGCAATGCTTATGTGACTAAATAATTTCAGATTTACTTACTTAATGTGTTTCTTTCTTCGTTCTTGACTAGTCTGAGGTTTTCCTTTCAGGGGTGTTGTCCCTTTTAGTCAAAGGAAGAAAATGTTAGAGAAAGCTAGAGCAAAAAATAAAAAGCCCAAATCCAGTGCTGGCCTTTCCTCCATGCCAAACATCACCGTTGGGACTCAGGTGAGTGATCGGAGCGAAGCCTGTCTATCTAAATGGCCTCCTTTCTCTTTTGTGTTTGTGTGTGCTTTTTCCTACAGAGATGAGTTCCTTTATTGGCCTGGCTTTGAGAATTCATTAGTACTTTTCCAATAGAGAGAGAATGTGGAGTGGCCCTTTCAGGAATGTTAGCTGAGGTTGTCCTAATGATAGGGCAGAGCAAGGCTGTGGTTGACAGCCCAGGTTGAAAAACTGCTCTGTGGGGTATTGTCAGTAAGAGGCTGTGTCATATCTTTGCATTTATGCAGATTGGTGATTTGGGCTCTGAGATGGTTTGTTAGAAGATGATTTTCTAATCCTCTAGTGCTTTTCCAAGTGTAGGACTCTCCTGCAGGACCTGTCTCTTTCATTCTTAAACCATTTATATTTGCACAGTGGATTATCTCTGAGTGCCTTAGCCAGAGGGTAGCAAGTTGAATGAAGCAGAAGATACTGAGAGTTTAGTCATAATGGGCTATGGAGCTGTTTCAGCTTTCTGCTAATCTGATGACCTGGGCTTGAATCTTGGGACCTACAGAATGGAAGGAGAGAAGTGGCTCCACTTGTTCCTAACTTCCACACTCGATGCCAGGGCACATGTGTACACACAAGTATTTGCACATAATACGTGTAAAAGGATTTTGAGAGGCTGGAGCGAGAACTCAGTGATTAAGAGCCTGCACTATTAAGAGGATCTGTATTCAGTTTTGAGCTCCCTTCCTGTAACTCCAACTCTAGGTGATTGAACACCATCTCCTGGATCCTGCGGGTACCTGCACTCGTGTGTGTCTAACCACATATGCACGCACACACCCACACTTACGCTTAAAAAATTATCAGAAAGGTAACTACAGGCTATTACGCTGATATTTTAACTATTTTTCACAGGCAAGGTTTTGTTACTCTCATAAGAAATTAGTTATATACTTATTAGTTATATACTTACTGATTATTAAAATGTGATTACCCACAGAACTGAAAGGTTTTTGGAACATTGACACCCTGAGATCAGAAAGATCTGGTAGAGATTTATCTGTTATGATAAAATTCATTATTTATAAATTGTAGCATGTGTTAGAATGAGAGGCTTCAAGGTTTATGTGACAAGTATGTTTTTTTTTTTTTTTTTATTTGTTGTTGTTGTTTTGTTGTTAAATGTAGTGTGCTGGCCACTTCCAGCATTTTCATTTCAGGTTCTTTCTTGACACCAAAGAGCACCATCACCTTCTTCCCTGTGTCTTAAATAGTCACTACTCAGCCCTGGCTTTAATGCTCTGGCTCTCCTGTGTGGCTGGCTCTGTCTTCTCACCACCCCTAGTCCATGCCTGCCTTGTTCTGGGTTTTGTTTGCCTTCCAAATAGAAATGCACTCTCTGGAAATACTCAGTTTTTATTATTTACTAAGGCATCTCTTCAATAGGATCCTTTTTTACCTGTTCAAATTTCAGTTTCAACATTATCAACTGAATTTAATTAAATACAGCAGCTGTTTAAATAACAAGTGATGATATTAGTGTAAGCAGGGAAGGTGAGATTCTCTGAGAAGTAAAGGTTTTTTTTTTTTTTTTTAACCTATTTTTAGAATTATCTGCTTTTATTATTTTATGTGATTGACTACTTTTTTTTGCCTGTATGTGTGTATTACATGACATGTGTGCCTGGTACTAGAGGAGGCTAAGAGAGGAGCTGGATTCGTGGACTGAAGTTACAGTTTGTTGTGAGCTGTCATGTGGCTGTTTGGACTCAAACCCAAGTCCTTTCTTGGAGCAGTGTATATTCTTAATTGTTGAGAGCCTTCTCTCCAGCCCAAAGGAAAAGTTTTAAATACAATAGAGTGGTAACATTGCTGAAGGATAGAGCATATCAGAATACCTTGAGGTACAACTAAGATTTTGCTTTAAAACCAGAGGTTTATGGTGCCACAGAAAAGAAATACATGGATTTGCTGTCAGGAAGAATGGTTGGTTAACTCCACTTGTATCCATAGATCCTATTAGTCAGAATTTGTATTTATCACATATGAATTGAGTGTTCTGCTGGCCCAGACTAGGATTTATTCCTTGTCTGCAAGGTGCATTTATTGTGATAAGGGCTAATAAGTAATTTCAGTTAATAGTAACCCATGCTTGGATCTCCACTAACGTTTTTTTTTTTTTTTTTTTTTTTTTTTTTAACATTTATTGGTCTCTAAGCTTTCACTAGATTTTATTTTTTTGTCCTGGAACTTGTTCTGCTTGTTCTGACCATGCTGGCCTCACAGAGATCCACCTGCCTCTGCTTCTCCAGTGCTGGGATAAAGGTGCATGTCACCACTGCCTGGCAAATTTTATTTTTTAAAGTGAAGCAAAGTTGGAGTTTATTGAGGGGAGTTTTATTTATTTAGTTTTTGGGTGGGGGTTTCTCCTTGAATCTGTGACTGCCGTGAAATTGGCTTGCAGCTTGCTATATACAAACTAGGCTGGGCTTAAACTCACAGAGGTAGATGCTCCTTTCTATGTCTCCTGAGTGCTGGGATTAAAAGGAGACACCATCATGCCTGAAGAGAAGGTTTTCACAGGACTTTAAGTAGGTACAGTTATTATGTGTTGGGGTAGAGAGACGTGTAAGAGAAGGTAGGATCATGCTCTGTAGTGGCTGTTTTGGCTGTGGTGGAAGATGACAGACTGGGGTACTTTTCCTGAAAGTCTGGCTAGTGTTTTTCCAAGTTTGCTTTTGAGACTTTTTGCCTATGCCAAAGCTGTAGTTGATGATGCATGCTTGTTCTTAGGGAGGGCTAAGCCACTGTTGTGGATTGTCTGACAGTGCCACTTCAGAGGCCAGCTTTCAGCACGAAATGCCACAAAGCCAGTTCTTAGAGCTTTGGAGTATGACCTTATTCTAGAAGGTCCTTTAATGTTCACTATCCTTTACCTAGCAGCAAGACATTTATTTATATATAGATTATTGACATTTGAACTTGTTTAAACCCCTGATGTCAAGGCCAGTATTTATTTGTTTACTTAGGAATCTCACGTTAGCTTTGAGGCATTTCTAGGCCTGAGCTGTTACACCTGCTCCTCTTAAGTTAAACGATTACAGTGCACATGGAAGCCTCTGGCTGGTAAATGGCCCTTCTGAGGGAAACATCCATAGAGACAAGTATTCGCTAGCTCCTATGGAGCATCAGAGTTAAGGAAGAGATGGCTCCCAAAGACAAGAAATAAAGAATGGTATAGCTGTTTATTTCACATTTTAGCTTGTGTTGTGCTGTTTTCAGTCTCTCCTGCCTTTTCTGTTGACTTGTCCCTCAATGGAATGGCTAACCCTGGCTGTGTGAGTTTTAAGAATAGGTTTCTAGCAGACACGCGGATGTCACCATTGATTAGAAGTAGGAACAGATGATTGGATGTTAGAAGTAGGAAAAGATGATTGGATGAGGTTCAGTAAGCCTTGTTGAGTGTAAGATTGTGTTGGAAAACATAGGAAGCCCACTGTTGCAGATGTTAGAACTGTTTGTCATTGTTTGCTGCATCATCCTGGTTGTGATTTTCTTTTGTTTGCTAGGTCTGCTTAAGAAATAATCCTCTTTATCATGCTGGAGCAGTTGCGTTTTCAATTAGTGCTGGGATTCCTAAAGTTGGCGTCTTAATGGAGTCTGTTTGGAATATGAATGACAGCTGTAGGTTTCAGCTGCGGTCTCCAGAAAGCCTGAAGAGCATGGAAAAAGCCAGCAAAACCATTGAAACCAAGTGAGTACTGCAGCCTCTGCTGTGCTGTGCTGTGTGTGTGTGTGTGTGTGTGTGTGTGAGAGAGAGAGAGAGAGAGAGAGAGAGAAAGAGGCCATCAAGAGTTTGCCTAAAGAAATGGGGAAATGCTGAGCTTTCATTGTGTGAGCAATTGCTTGTGTGTGTGGAAGCCAAGCCAGGTCCTCTGGAACTGGAGAAGTCAGTCAGCAGGTGATTTAATTGGCAGAGCCAGCTCTCTAGCTCTGAGTAAATTACATGTGGTTCTTGATGGTGGTCAGAATGACAAGCTAGTATTGATTGTCTTTATGTCCCGTCTCCTGTGTCACCCCCCCCCCCAGTTTGGTCATTAGCTGTGTTCTTTGCAGGTGTTACATAGCTCTAACATGTTCCACCTTACTTACTGTTAGGATAATGTCTGCTTTTCTCCTATGAGATAAATTTGTTACAGAGCTTTTAGTCTGATAAAAATATGTTACTACATTATAACATGCAGGAGTGCTTTCTTTGCTAAATTTTGGTACATTGGGAAATGATATGCTTATACCACATACACAGGTGTTCAAAGTTCTGATGTAATGTTTATAAATTCATAAATATAACGTGTGATATTTCTGTTACACGTGCATGCTGAAACTCAGAAGCACAGGTATTTATTAATACGCTAAAAATATACTCTTAAGAGATCAAACCTATGACACTCATACTTAAGATTTATAATTTTAGGTTTTTTAAATAGGTGGCCCTAAATAAAAATAAAAACAGATCATCTTTAATATTTTTTAACTATAAAAAATTGAAATTTATAGTGCATGGTAGTTTGTGTGCACAAATGTCAATCAATCAGTCAGTCATCTGAGCATAGTGGTTTCTGGGTGCACGCCTGTATCCCTAGCACATGAAGTAAAGGCAGGAAGAAAAACCTCTAGTTCACAGCTAGTAATGTCTACATAGGGAGTTTCAGCCTAGTCAGTGTTACACAGAGAGACCCCCTGTCTCAAAAGAAACCAAAACAACAAAAACCCAGTCATAACCTATAAAAAAGATGAACAGAATATGACATTTAAACTTTATAACTTAGAGAGTTTCAAAGTCTTCTTTGGATTTATTAATTTCTATCAGTACAGTTCTATATCGAGAACACAGCCATTTCTATCTCAGTAGAACTTCCTGCTTGTCATCAAAGTGTCTTGGATTCAGATGTGCTGGCCGTCAGTCGATACTGGTCTGCACCATCTCCCTGTACAGAGCAGCAGGGTTGCTGGGCTGAGCAACCTTGCTTAAGACAGTGCTAAAAATAATATGGCTACTTTCAGAAGAATTTCAAAATTTACCTGGACATGGTGGCTCATACATTTAATTAATTCCAACATGGAAAACAGAGGCCAAGATGGTCTGTATAATGAGTTCTAGGCAGCTAGGGCTCCATAGTAAACCCTGTCTTTTTATTCAGGTAAATTCCTAGTGAGAGTAGTAGAAAGCAAGAGGGTTAAGATGAAGACCCAAATTATTTCTGTATGTGATGTGATATATTAAATAATTTGGTTTGTGAAAAACTAGGGGCTGTATATTTCCTGTATATAAGTATATGCTTTATCACCTGCAGAACGTAGTAGAGTTGTCATAGTTAGGGGAGATGCTTTGGTTCAGAGCAGGTCCCCCTGGTCGTCGTCCCCCAACCCCCACGATGGCTTGTGCAACCACTATTTTTTGTTTTGTTTTATGTTTTTTCTTTCTGATGTGCACCATGTATGCTTTCTAATGCATGAAACTATAGTTTATGTTTAAAACTATAGCCATTGAATAATATCTCCCCACCCTTATAATCTTCTTGAAATTTCTATTGAAAATTGAAAGTTTCTATTTTTTCCTAGTTATAAAAGAATGCTTTTCTCACTTTAGGCCTGAGAGTAAGCAGGAGCCAGTCAAAACAGAGATGGGTCCTCCGCCATCCCCAGCTTCCACGTGCAGTGATGCATCCTCAATCGCCAGCAGTGCATCAATGCCATACAGTAAGTTTGGTGTGCATGGTGTAGCCCTCAAGCACACAGAGGGGCCGCCTGTCCAACTTGTCAACTCAGTAGCATTTAAAAATTCTTTTTATAGATACTGTTTGTTCTTTTGCTTTTTTGTTGTTGTTGTACAACTTAAAAGTAGAAAGATACTAATTATATATAGTGTTACTGTTTCAGTTGTTTTTGACAAATAGTTCAAAAATATGTAAAATTTTCTGTAGTCATCAAAGGAAATTACCCCTTCCCCACTATTATTTTGACAGGATTTTAGCTTTTGCATAGGGTTTATAGACTCTATAAAGCTAGGATTGGAACTATGCTTTGGATTTCATGCTCCTCGAAAGCCCACTTTGAAGCTGCATGGTGCTTTTCAGAACACACTAGACATTCACACTTCCACTCATTTTAGTGTGTAGTAATGTTAGTAGTTAGGTGGTGACCAGCTATAACTCTTCTTTATTTACTGAGTTTACTTAGTGGGAGTTTTATGTATAACCTTAGTTCAGAAAGTGGGGGGGGGTCTTAAAAGATTCTGCATTGCTGTACAAACGGTCATTACTGGTGTGTTTAGATGGACTTTGTAAAGATTTCTTTACATTTTCTTTTGGTACTTACTGTTTTGTTGTTGTCTAAGAACGGCGTCGATCAACTCCTGCCCCGAAGGAAGAGGAGAAGGTGAATGAAGAACAGTGGTCTCTTCGGGAAGTTGTTTTTGTTGAAGATGTCAAGAATGTACCTGTCGGCAAGGTTTGTTCAATATAGATGAGAATTGGTTACTAACTGCTTCATTTTGGTTACTTGAGGATTTCTGTGGTTAGTGTTTGAGACCCCTTTCTTCATGGATGCTTTTAAATTGTCTCCTTCCATGGTTCTTTTAGTCTCAGTTCTGTGTCTGGTGCTGATGGGTCTCTGTTGAAGGTGATGCTGGGCTGCCTTAGTCAGGACTATCTAGGGAACAGAGCTGATGAAATGGATACATATTCATGCATGCACTGGATTTATTAGAATGACTTACAGGCTGTGGTCCTGCTAGTCCAACAGTGGCCATCTACCACACTGTAAGGTCCAAGAATCCAGTAGTTGTTAAGTTCATGAGGCTGGATGTCTCGTCAGTTTGTCTTCAGTATACACTGGAATCTTGGGGGAAGTTGGCTCCAAGGCCAGTGAAGGAATGACTAGTTTATGAGAGCAAGAGCAAGCAGGCAAAGATTGAAGAGCTTTGTTCTTCTGTTTCCTTTATGTAGGGTGCCGGCAGGAGGTAATGGTCATATTAAATTTAGGTGGACTTTCCTACCTCAGAAGATCTGGATTCCAAAGATCTAGATTAAGAAAGAAAGAAAGAAAAAAAAAATTATCCCTCACAGGTTTATCCAACCCCTTGAGTTTTAGTTACTTCCAGATATAGTCAAGTTTTAGCAACCAAGAATAGCCATCAGATGTGTGCCATGAGCATTTGGAGTGATGCTTTGTTTTTAGGTTAATTTGGGGTATTTTTTTCATGTACAAAAAAGTTGAAGAGATGTGTTTGTGAGTTGTGTATGTAAGTATGTATGTTCACAGGAGTGTTTGCCTATGTGTTGAATCCTTTGTAACTAGAGTTCCAGGCTTGCAGGACACTTTCTGTGTTACATATACACTGGTCCTTAACAATTGCACAGTGTGTGCTCCTGAACCATCGCATCCCTTTAGGTGCAGTCATGACTGGGACTCTGACTGCAGGGGATAATTGTAGCATTAAGCACTGTTCTGTATGAACTGCTTTGTGCTTTCTCATTTCCTCCTGAAGATTTTCCTTCCAAGAGTCCAAGTAAAGAGAAGTCATTGGCTTGAATGCTATTAATTAATTGACCCTTTTGTTTCTCAGCACATATTTTGAATATCACTACAGGTAGTGAATGCCTGCTTTTTCTTTTTTTTTTAATTGCTTTTTAGTTTTTTTTTTTTTTTAAATATAATGCCCTTTGAAAATATAATTTTCCATTTGTACACAAGGAAAGAAGATGATAAACCAAGGTTGGCAGTGTTGCCACAAGCTGTGTATTTGGTAATTTGAATTTATTAAGTCATGCTGATCCCATTTGAAGAGGTTTGCAACTTTCTGGGCTTCTGACCTACATGGGTGCAGAAAGTGCGAGGTTGGGCATGGTGGGATTTATCTATAATCTCATCATTTGGATGAAATGATTAGAGTGAAAAAGAAGGAAGTTGAGAGGTTTGGTCAGTAAGTGGTTAACAAACACCCCTTGTGATCATTGGCTCTAGGAGTTTGTTCTTTTAGTCTTGAATGTGAATGTGACAGCAGTATTTTAATGTTTTGGTCAGGTTAATGCAACAATGTTGTGCTCATTGGGGACTTAGGTGGCTTTAGTATTAAATCATTTTGATAGGCAAAATTTGCATGTTAATTTCATATGAACTGTTTTTAAATATTATTGTATTTGCCTCTTACTTTCAGGTGCTAAAGGTAGATGGTGCCTATGTTGCTGTAAAGTTTCCAGGAACATCCAGTAACACAAACTGTCCGAACACCTCTGGCCCAGATGCTGACCCTTCTTCGCTCCTGCAGGACTGCAGGCTACTTAGAATTGATGAGCTGCAGGTATTGTACAGGGCTTCAAATTGCATTCTGGCATGGACTCATTGGGTTTGTTACATTGAGAGCAAAATTCCCTATGTGGTTGGCAGGTTGTCAAAACTGGCGGCACACCGAAAGTTCCTGACTGTTTTCAGAGGACTCCTAAAAAGCTTTGTATACCGGAGAAGACTGAAATACTAGCAGTGAATGTGGATTCCAAAGGTGAGTGTTTGTATTTTCCCAGTTTACATCTGCCACATACGGAAATGTGATTAAATTGTCTGGTGACTTGACAGATTTTGCCCCTGGCTTGTAGCATAATAGAGTGAAATGTGGCTGACTTTATTCACAATGTTGGAGAGGTTAAAATGATTGAGTAATGTGTAAGATTTTGTACTTTTCATTTCTGTGCCTTTGAAAGGTGTACACGCTGTTCTGAAGACGGGGAACTGGGTACGGTACTGTATCTTTGATCTTGCTACAGGAAAAGCTGAACAAGAAAATAATTTTCCAACAAGCAGCATTGCTTTTCTTGGTCAGAATGAGAGGAATGTAGCTATTTTCACTGCTGGGCAGGTAAGAGGCTCAATTTTACTTTTTAAGAACAGATACAAGACTATGCTACTTAGGGTTTGCCTATTAGAAATTAAAGAAGAATTTAGAATGTTCAGCACATTCTATTTTGAGAGTTTCAAATTTGATTTGTTATTACCAACACTTAGTTTATTTTAAAGTAAATACTCGTATTTTAAAGTCAGTATTTGGTTACTCACCCTTTTCCTTCTTTCTCTCCCTCCGTCCCCCTTCCCTCCCTCCTTTCCTCTGGCTGACTTGAATTCTTGCTTACCCTGCTATATTTTATTCTCCTAACTTCTTAGAATTTGGGCATGCATGGTCATGATAGGTTTGTATCATCATTTTTGGTTAGGGTCAAGCATTATTATTTTTTCATCCATTGTAGGAATCTCCTATTATTCTTCGAGATGGAAATGGTACTATCTACCCAATGGCCAAAGATTGCATGGGTGGAATAAGGGATCCTGACTGGCTTGATCTTCCACCAATTAGTAGTCTTGGGATGGGTGTGCATTCTTTAATAAATCTTCCTGCTAACTCAACAATCAAAAAGAAAGCTGCTATTATCATCATGGCTGTCGAGGTAATTACCTTTTGAAATCACTTAGCATTTTAATTCAAAAGAAATACATCTTGAGAAAATTCTTGAAAATCTTGTTCCTTCCTTCCCAAGAACCAATAGTTTCTTAATACAACAGAGACAAGAAAAGTCAGTGATTATGGCATAATTTAAATAAATAAATAAATAAATAAATAAATAAATAAAGGCAGGCACATATACTGTTGGGACAGTGCAGTGGTCAGGGATAAAAATCAGACTGACTGTATAGCAAGCTTTAGAGGAAGTGGTGTCTGTGCTGAAGGGGGAGACAGGATTGCTGTGTATGGTACCCAGAGTGGAAGTTAATTCCACCGCGAAAGCAGTGTTTCCTCAAACGTGCCAAGTACCTTAAGGCTTACTATCTCATGTGGACAGTGACCTCTCTATTGCACTTTCTTCCCATAAAGTTACAGGGAGGGAAACATTATTTAAGGCAGTTTTCTGGGAAATTGATTAGAGCCCTTCTCTTGTCCTCCTGCACTCCTGTACATACCTGCTTGCTTCTAGTTACAAATAATGAGTTTGCTTTTTAAAATAAAACTAGTGTTTTATATTCTATTAAATGTTCCCTATCTTTAGTTTTTTACTTTTGTTACTGCTTCTGTTTGTTTGTTTAAAATACTTGTTTTTATATCCACATGAGTGTTTGTGCAACATGTGCGTTCCTGGTGCCCGAGGAGGCTAGAGCAGAATGTGAGATTCCCCTGGAACTGGAATGACAGGGCTGCGGGCGCTGGGGATGGAATCTGGGTCCTCTGCAAGAGCGTCATTTGCTTTTAACTGCTGAGCCATCTCCAGCCTCTGCACTACCTGTCTGTGTTGTGGGATGGCTAATATGTTTTCTGTGCATCCCTACGGCACTGTTAGATCTTTGATAGTTAGATCTGCTTTTGACTTTGGAAATCACAAACCTGTCAGAATTCCTAGAGAGTTAAAAGTTTTATACTGCATGTATCACAGCATAACTCTTTACACACACCTTTATTACTGTGTATGTACATGATTGGGGTGGGGTGGTGGGAGGCACACGTGGAGATAAGAGGGCAACTGGTGGTAGTTGGTTCTTTTTACCATGTGGGCCATGGCGCTTGATTTTATGTGGTCAGGCAAGTACTTTTTATCATTTCACCAAGCCTCTCATAGTCCATGAAATGTACCTTTACACAGTGAGGTGAGGGTGGGTAAGTCTGGAATAAAATATACATCCTTTGCTGAGTTGGCTGTGACAATATTGGTGGTGGTGTTCTAGTTTGAGAGCGAGAGTAAGTACCAGGGCCTCATCAAACATGATCAGTTTACTGTACTCCAGGCATTCTCATTCAGTTGCTCACCATATGACTGCTTTCTCCATTAGTTACAAAATTGAAATACTTTTGAAAGGTGAAAACATATGCTCAAACGTGATTTACAGAAAGGTTCTACTTTTTCCACTTCTCACTGATATACTATCCTTACAGGGTACAGATGAATTCAGCCACCCTTGTCCAGGCCACTTGCAATCAATTTCTACTTATTTGAAAATCTGATTGCATTATAGTGGCCATGAGGCATTTTTGATGCATGTAATTTTGGACATGTTTGCAGTTTGGTTTCATTGGAGTCTTTTTTGCCTTCTTCTGCCCGAGTATAGAAGCAAACCTTAATGCAGCATATTCTCCGATGTGACTATGAGGCCTGCCGGCAGTATCTTGTGAATCTTGAGCAAGCCGTTGTTTTAGAGCAGAACCTACAGATGCTACAGACGTTCATCAGCCACAGATGTGATGGAAATCGGAACATTCTGCATGCTTGCGTATCAGTTTGTTTTCCAACTAGCAATAAGGAAACTAAGGAAGAAGAGGGTAAGACTCAGAAGCAAAAGAAGGCCTTCAAAAGAACTTAGGAAGAGAAACCGACACATTCCTGTAGAGAACATGTACTTTATTTTGTATAGTGTTGGAAGGTCTGACTTTGTTAGATGGTAAAACTATTCCTAAGGATTAGATATGGAAGCCGACAGTAAGTTTGATCTGTTTCTATTATCTTTAATTCTTTGAATAAGATATAAGCTGAGTATGCTGGCACTAAATGAACTTCATGAATTTTATAAGTACAAATGACTTTGTGTACTTGTGTATGTCTGTGGGTGCAGGTGCCTGACAAGACCAGAGGCATCGGATTCCCTGAGCTGGACTTACAGGCATCTGCATGTCACATTCTGGGAACTGAACTCTGGTCCTGTGGAGGAGCAGGAAGTGTTTTTAATTGCTAGGCCATGTCTCCACTCCTAAAAATTTTAATTTCTGTGTCTGTCTGTCTGTCTGTGCACATATGAGCCAGTGCTGGGGAGGTTAGAGGTGTTACATCTCCTAGAGATGGAGTTACGGTGAATGTGAGCCCAATAGGAGTCCCCAGGGAAATTGGGTGTGCCTAACTGCTGAGCTGGCTGTCTCTCCAGCCCTTACTTCCCCCACCCCTGAAGTGAATTTACCATAGGAATGTGGCATTTTAAGTCACTAGAAACAATGTCTTGTTTGGAATGTAGAAGGAAAAAAAATAAGTTACTAGGTTGCTACATGGTTCTGAAAAGGCAGTATAAGGTGGATTTTTGTTTCTTTTGGCCATGTAAGGTGTTTTTTTTTTTTTTTTTTTTTTTGAGGGGTGGCGTTTCAAGATGGGGTTTCTCTGTAGCTGTGGAACCTGTCCTGGAACTCCCTTTGTAGACCAGGCTGGTTTCGAACTCACAGAGATCCACCTGCTTCTGTCTCCCAAGTGCTGGGATTAAAGGTGTGGGCCACTACGAGGAAGAATCTAAGTGGTACTTTGTAACTATTTTGAGTTCTGCTGATGCTATTGTGGTATGCAAGAGTCGTTTTTTATTTCACCAGCATCCCTAGGGTTTGTTTATAAATAGCATATAAACTAAGACTGACATACTAATGAGTGCATTTGTTTGTTTTTCTTTTCCATCTCAGTAGTGAAAGGTAAATTCAAGTCTACCTAAGTTTGTATGTTGCTGAAATGAGGCAGAATAAAGAAACGAAGGTCGTAGTTGAAGCTTTGTTATGAAAGGTCGTAGTTGAAGCTTTGTTATGAAGCTTTGTTATGTGCTATATTAATTGAAGCACTCCATGAGTGAGTTAGTGTTTATTGGTCAGTCCATACTACCAGTTGTTTTCAAAGTTTAAATCCTAATTTTTTCTCTTATGTTTCAGAAGCTGAGCGCTCAGAAAGAAATACATTTGCAGAAAGGCTTTCTGCTGTGGAGGCCATTGCAAATGCAATCTCAGTTGTTTCAAGTAATGGCCCAGGTAATCGGGCTGGATCATCAAGTAGTCGAAGGTAATATGATTTTTATGAGGAAAGTTTAATTGGAGGAAAAAAGTCCCAAGTACAGAAAGCAGTGTATCTCTTACTGTCTGTGCATGAATTGGTGGGTCCTTTTTTGTTTGTTTTGGCTTCTTCCAATAACACTGTGGGAAAATGTCTGATAACTAAGAGTTCAAGTCTGAACACTAGGATCTGTGACACCTGATAAATGGGATGATTTTAAAACACAGCTCAGACTTCATCTTTTGAATGTGTTGTAACCTTACCATTCTTCTTAGGTAGTTGTTTTCTTTAGATGGAGAACAAGGAACACGATACAGTCATTGACCAACCCCCCCCCCCAAACAAAACAAAACAAAAAACCCCAATCCTCAGTCTTTTAGGTTTCACATTGCTTATTTAGGTCCGTTTCTCAGATACCTTAATGATCTGGGAAGAAATAAAAGGCCTTTGTCCGTTTTGAATGTTTGATTAAAAATTTTCAAGTTTTCTGAGTTGTTAGGTGGATAATCCTTTATAACGTCTTAAAATTGCTAGGTGTTTGGCTAGATGATAGAGAATTTAGTGGTTTTCTGTAGGAAAAAAGGCAAATTGTAGATATGAAAGAGTCAAAGTTGTTGGTTGTTGACACATGGCGTGAGAGAAAGTGCTGCTCACTGGGTAGTGATGTGACAGGTAGACACGCCTGCTTCAAGTAAGACTCCACACTCATCTTTCCCTCTCAATGTTTTTTCTTAAATTGGCATTAGGAAAGCTACCAAGTTGATGGTTTTCCTGAGCGCAAAAAGATACAAAATGAGGCTTAAAAAAAAACTCTGTGGGTGACCAAATTATAGTTTTAAATAGTACAGAAACATTATGTGTACTGTACAAGTACAGAAACATTATGTGTACTCTACAGAATGGAAATTATTACCAACTTATTTATCTAGAACTACATTAAACAAGTGTTGACTCTAAAATGAAAGCAACTTAAATTCTTCACGAAGATACTAGTCTCTGAATTATTTCAGGTATCTCATTTCCTCAGGGAAATTACGGGTGCCAATCACTTTGGACTCTGATATGGTTGGTCCAATGCCAATACTGCCATCTTTTTCATATAAGGATTATTTTGAAGGCAAAGACTAAAAGGAGCTTCAAGAGTGGGCGATGAATTGCTCACAGAAATAAATTTGCAGAGTAAGCTCCTTTGAGGAATTTGCCGAAGATTCCACTGCAGTGCTCTTAACCAGTGCAAACTCAGGGCTGCCGGCTGACCAGATGACAGCACAGGAGGCTTATTATCCACGCCGGGCAGTAGGAAGTCCACAGACTGCTTCACTGAAGTGAGATCCTTCTCTAGCCTACAGTGGATTTTGTAGGCGATGCCCCTTGATGAGTATGCAGGCTGGGATTCCTGAGCTGTAAGCTCAGAACTGATGCAGTTTCATTGAATGGAATACTGTAATGCCTTCAGATGATGCTATGACTCATAGTCCTGAGTACAAGGGCAGATTTAGTGAAAAGCTTGATTGGTGCATCTGATTGCAGGTGTATGTGCTCTAGCCATTGTTAATCGGGAAGACACATGACCTTCACTTTTTTGTCACAGTGTTATGTTTGAACATGACTGGATTCTAAGGCTTCTGTAGCATGGATATAACGTGCTTACAAAGAGGAAATTACACCATCCTTGAACTCTTCCATATTGTCAGAAAATACGATGACTCCAGGCAAGCCTATGTGAAGAACTGTCAAAACTCTGAATCTTAGCAGCCAAGGTGGTTCCTCCTCAGTATTGTCCTCAGCACTGAGGATCCAGGTGAATCTCCATGAATTGTGTACAGCATCTTGAAGAATAATTTTCTTTTTGTTTTTGTTTTTATTTTTAACGAATCTGTATGAGCTAATGAAGAAAAAGGTTAAGGACAATTAAAAATGACAAGGAATGACCCCACATTTAATATGATTGACTACATCACAACAACAAAGTTGGGAGTTTGCACGTTCAAGATGAGACTATGGTCTCCATTTACCTTCAGTTATTATAATGTACTCTAAGCTAGAAGTTGGAGAATATCCCACATGTGTTTTCTTTGGCCTATGCAGTGTAATTTTTTTAAAAATATCTGAGTGCCTTTAGATGAACATGTATACCTCTAGTATGCCACTATTTCTGTTTCTTATGTCTGACCTCCTTTTCGGTCACTATTTTACATTTCTTACCCAATAAGCATTTCACTGTGACTCTGGAATAAGCACTTTCCTTAATAAGCCCCAAACACTACATTTTCCCATCTGTTGGCACACCCAGCGTCTGTCTTCACAGTGCAGACTAGTGTGCCCTGCACTGGGAAGAAACCTTTCTTCTCTGAGTGATGACTTTGAATAGAGAAGTGAATCTTAAACTTCTAAATTGGGGAGGCAGGGAAGAATGTTAAACAGATGTTTCTAGTAGTTAATGTTGAAGTAGGTAACACATTATTTGAGACATTAAAACTTACCTTTGTGGGATCTTCCAGTGTTTGTTCAAAAAATTACACCACAGATACATTTCTAAAATCGCTTCCTGGAAATAGCTTCTTAAAGAAACTCATACCCTTCATTTTTTTTTCTATAAAAGCAAAAATATGTTGATATGGAATAACACTCTGAGATTAAATAGTTACTACATTAACAAACTCAAGATTGTTTATGCTTCTCATAAATCACTAGGTCTTTCACACTACAAGTCCTATCTTTGGGATTATGGCTGCATAGGAAAATGAAGTTCCCATCTGCTATCTTGCCCTTATAATTGAGGTCTTACTTTTTATTTAGAAGCTTTAAAAACTGTGGCTCAGTAGAGTGATTTGTGCTCTCTTAATCGCTATTATCCTAAGTGTGATTGTGTTTATTCCGGTACAGCACAGGCTTTGTGTAGGAAGGCACCAGTGTCCCCCCCTCCCCCCATGAGATCTTCATGAGGAGTTGTCTTCTTAGTGATGTAGGCCATCTGTACATTGCTCTTTCTTTGTTTAATGTAGCAGGTGGAAAAAGATCAATCAAGCCTAGACAGTAACATCTTTAGTTTTATTAATTTCTCAAAAGTATGAGTTGTACTATTTATTGAGGCTTTTTGTTTTGTTGTTTTGGGGGATGAGTCTTTTGATATTAAAAAAAAATCTAAATTGGTAAAATTGCTCATGTGGATAATAGTTTAATTGCTTTTGAGCATAGAAAAGGGACTTAGTAGCCGATAATAATTCATTTTGTACTAATCAGTAGTTTTATTGACATTTGTTATTAAGCTTAACTTTTAGGAAATGGGTCTAAAAAAACTGTTCTAATGCTTTGAAAGATTATTTCTAATCTTACTTCATGGAAACCTGCGTTCCCTTTGCTTAAGTTTGTTTCAGGGTTGCATTGGGTACTAGACTCCCCTAGCTTCATTTCTACCCCACTGACTCGTCCTGTGACTACAGAATTGGCCTTTGTTCCTCACTTCCCTTGCCTGGAGTATTTGCTTATAGAACAGTCTGGAGGCTCTCACATGAGAACCTCTGTACACCTCCTGCCCGGTTAGACATGGTAATGAGTTGTGATTTTGTCCATGTCCTTCTAGTCTGAGATTACGGGAAATGATGAGACGGTCATTGAGAGCAGCTGGTTTGGGTAGACATGAGGCTGGAGCTTCATCCAGTGACCACCAGGATCCAGTCTCACCCCCCATAGCTCCCCCTAGTTGGGTTCCCGACCCTCCTTCAATGGATCCTGGTAAGATCTCTTGTTTTATTTAGTGTTTAATAAAAGGCAAGGTTTTGAAAGGAGAAATGACATTTTAGTGAAATATTTTAAAAATTGTGATGGTAGAATGGTAAACACTACAACTTGATTAGTTGAAAAATTGGTCTAAGGGGTTTGGTTTTTTTTTTTTTTTTAAGATTTTTTTTTTTTTCTGGCATTATTTATTTTTATGCTGGTAGAGGCTTGGTGGTATCTGGATTGGTAAATACAAATAAATAAGTAAATAAATAATGATTTGCCCAGTGGATTCCTTCCGTAGTCTGGAAAAGAAATTTCCACTATACCTTTTGTTGGATTTGACCCTTGGTTTATGGAGAAAAACCTTAAGGCCTGTTAAGAGAAGGGTTAGGGGTGTGTTACCCATAATGATATGCCTGCTGTTCTGTTTACTGAAAGATGGTGACATTGATTTTATCCTGGCCCCCGCTGTGGGATCTCTTACCACAGCAGCGACTGGCAGCGGTCAAGGACCAAGCACCTCCACCATCCCAGGTAAGACCGGACTGTTGTCTACCTGGGCTGACACACTGGATACAAGGCTCTGAATAAAATTGATAACTATTTTCTCGAAGATTCTATTTTTCTTTCTTAAAAACATTGCACTCAACATAAACTTCCATATATATGTAATAAGGAGTACAGTATAATGTTTGCATACACACATTAAGAAATCAATTGAAATGTGTTAATATGCTTAAATTCTTTGTATCACGTTTGTTGTTATAGATTTTGTTCTAGTGACTTACACTATAACCTGGCGTTTTTCAGAACTCTTCTCATTTTTGCTTGGTACTAAATGACTGCTTAATTACAGGTCCTTCCACAGAGCCTTCTGTAGTAGAATCCAAGGATCGAAAGGCAAATGCTCATTTTATATTAAAACTGTTGTGCGATAGTGCAGTTCTGCAGCCGTACCTACGGGAGCTCCTTTCTGCCAAGTAAGAAACTTGACAAACTTTTCAGATGATGATTGAGCTTAGTGACTTACTGTTTAAATTGATTTTGTGATGTTTTAAAATGATCTGTTGGTGTATTTCTTATGCTACTAATATATTTATGTGAATTTAAAACATCAGAATCGAGCCACTAAATTTACTTTAGTGAAAGATGCCTTCTCAGCATCACAGAATATGCCTTGAATGAATAGAAACAACCTTTATATTAGTTGGCTCAGAGTGCATGTTTCTCTGGGGCGGTGGGGGGGGGGGGTCAAGGGGGAAGAGAGTACAGAAAGATGTTGCCATGGGTAGTGCAAGATCCCAGCACTAAGCTGAGGCAGGAGAATCGTGATCAGGGCTATTGTAGACACAGTAGGAAGATGACCTTCCTAACAGTGTCACAGAATAGTCCGTGACTGAGACCAAAGTTCAGTATGTTTATAATGAACACTTCCTTTCTTTTTTGGTTTTAAGAAAGTGTCTCACTGTGTAGCCCTGGTTGGCCTCTCATAGAAATCTACCTGCCTTTGCTTCCTCAGTGCTAGGCTTAAAGATATGAGCCATCCTGCCCATATAATCTTTCTCATTTTAGGGATGCAAGAGGGATGACCCCATTTATGTCAGCTGTAAGTGGCCGAGCTTACCCTGCTGCAATTACCATCTTAGAAACAGCCCAGAAAATTGCAAAAGGTAATTACTGTAGTTGAGGCCTAAATGAGTTGTTCATTTTTAATTTGAATTGCTTTGCTTCATGTATACTATTGCAATTATTCAAACAATATTTGTGTATATAAGTGATATAATTGAAACTATCATGGTAATTTTGTATGTATAAAATTTTGTTAATACTTTTTTCAAATATATTTCTAACTTTTCATAAGAAGCAACTTGGATGAATTTTTGGCTACATTTACAATTGATAGTATAAAATCTTCAAAAGGGTAATAACAGTGCTGCCTGTGCTGCTTGGTTGATGGATATGACAAAAGTTTATAGCAGTAATAGAATGCCATAGTGTAGGTACATCTGACTTGAAGACTTCTTGCTTAAAGCAAGAATCAAGGAATATCGTCTTCTGCCATCTAATTCCTAAAAGATGAATTGCCCTTTTTTTTTTTTTCCAAGACTGATGTTAATTGTGATATGGTCTAAATAAAAGACAGACTCAGAGTCCTGCTGGGTGTTTGAAATAGAGTCCTTCTATGTAGTACAGGCTAACCTCCAGTGTGCTGGGATTAGAGGTATACACTGTTGCGTCTGGCTAAGACTTGAGTCTTCACTACTGGTCACAGGACTAAGGATTCCAGTGGTCGGAGCATATATTGTCGCCATATACAGTTACAGTATAGTTCGTTTTGCCTTCTTTGCTTTAGAATGTTTGAATTTTATAATACATTGACTTGAACAAATTATATCCAAGTGTGTAAGTATTTTGTGTTCATGTATATCTATGTTCATGTATGTGTGTGCCTGATGGCTTGCTAAGTCCAGAAGCTGAGACTGTAGTTAAAAACATTTTGAGCTGTCATGTGGGAGTTGGTTTCCCTGAAAGCATTCTGTGCTCTCTGCAGTTAGGCTTCTGAAATTTTTACTAACAGAAGTTTTTAATGAATAGGAAATGGTTTTTAGTTTATACTGAATGTATATTAGGGCCCCTCATTTGTGGTGTAATCAAGTTCTTCGTTGATAGATGATGAATTTCTGTGTCCTAATATTGCAGCTGAAGTGTCCTCAAATGAGAAAGAGGAAGATGTGTTTATGGGGATGGTTTGCCCGTCAGGCACTAACCCTGACGACTCCCCTTTATATGTCTTATGCTGCAATGACACCTGCAGTTTTACATGGACTGGAGCAGAGCACATCAACCAGGCAAGTGACCCTAAGTGTGTAAATATTCCTGCATTTCCACTTTAAAAATTATCCAAAGAATTAATTTTGATTTGATTCCTATGTAAATATGTCAAAAAAAAAAAAAAAAAAAAAAAAAAAAAAGAGGGTCACTCATTACTCAATTAAATGAAAATTAGGTCTTCACAGGTGACAGTCTGATCCACGACTCTTGATCATTTTACAATTCCTGTCTGTTATTTAATGTCCTGGCAATATTTGGTTTTCCCCTTTACCTTGTCAATTGCACATTCATCACACCCTCTTGTTCCCATCACCCTACATTATGACCTGTGACTAAGTTATAATGATATGCATGTGATTGCTCCTTTTAAAAAGTGACCCGTTTTAATTTCAGGACATTTTTGAATGTCGAACTTGTGGTTTACTGGAGTCACTTTGTTGTTGTACAGAATGTGCAAGGGTCTGTCATAAAGGGCACGATTGCAAGTAAGTCCAGTTGCATTTTTAAGAAATCTTATAAGGTATTTTAGGTGTATATTGCAGTACAAAATACTTAACATTATGCTTTAATTGTTGGCATTGTTTAGGAAGTCTGAGGTTTCCTTGTATTTCAGTTTACACATTCAGAAATGTGGTTTTTGATTTTGTGTATTGTCAAGCATTTGTTTTCTGTTATGTGTAGTCCTCCTAACTAAAAGCAGGACAATAGGCTAAGGAATGTGTGATTAGAATTAGTTTATGATCAGCTAATCAGGTTAATGCTTCTAAACATGTTTACAGAATAGTTTTAACCTTCATTCTGCAGCCAGTCTTAACTATTCCCACCCCACCCCCATCACTAAATGTTATTATAAGTAATTGGCCTATGCCATATTTTATTTTTAAAATGCTTTTTTAATCTTTTATTCCAAAGCAGAGTCTTTCTAGATGATTTTATTAGTTTTCACTGACCTGCGGTAAACAATGCAGCACCTAATGTTTGCGGTGTCTCAGGGTTACCAATAGGAACCCTGATATAAATAACAGCAATGTGTGGATGTCATAAGTAATAGAAAGTGCCTGTCAGAGCTCTTCCTTTGGGGTTTCTCAGGAGAATCATCTGTTAAAGGCACTTGCTACAAAGCCTGATGACCCTGAGTTTGATCCTGGGTTCATATAGTGCAAAGAGAGACTAGATTCTTGCACAGGTGTAGCACCTCCATCCATCATTCACCCTGCCCCATAGACAAACAAACAAACATAAAAATCATCTCAGTTTCTGCTTTGATGCAAAGTGCATTTTGTGTTTATACACTATGCCCACCGCCCTGCCTGCCCCCAGGATAAACCAGGCAGTTCATGTTCTGACAGCATTTGCAATCCTGTCTATGAAAGACAAAGGGTGCTGATTAACGGTTAGAGAGTTGACAAGATGCCAATGGGAAGGCCTCGTAGGATTGGTTGGGGATTTGGGAATTGGCAAAGACAAAAAACGTGACTGTCCCAGAGCATTACAGGGTGCTGTTTTTAATAGGATTTTCAGTGTTGTTTTCTGGATTTCACACCATTAAATAATATAGTTACACTTTGCATTTTCACTCAAACCACACATCTCTGGTTTCATGCCTTGTAGCCCTCATTTCAGTGTATGTAGATCTGTGCTTTAAAGTTTTTCCATCTATGAACTTTGCTGTGAATTCCTTATAGACTCAAGCGGACTTCACCAACAGCCTATTGTGATTGTTGGGAGAAGTGTAAGTGTAAAACTCTGATTGCTGGACAGAAATCAGCTCGTCTTGATCTCCTTTATCGCCTGCTCACTGCTACAAATCTGGTCACTCTACCAAATAGTAGGCAAGTAGAATTCTTAGATGGAAAGAGCTCAGCACATGCTGGTAACTCTCTCTCACTCTCACAACATGCTCTATTTTCCAGGGGAGAGCACCTGTTGCTGTTCTTAGTACAGACTGTGGCCAGGCAGACAGTGGAGCATTGCCAGTACAGGCCACCACGAATCAGGGAAGATCGTAACCGGAAAACAGCCAGTCCTGAAGGTGAGTACATTTAGTGATTCTAACTGTGTGCAAAGCAGTGAGTTTTATTTGTCTGACCCACTCTTCCTTCCTTTCCAGATTCAGATATGCCTGATCACGACTTAGAGCCTCCAAGGTTTGCTCAGCTCGCACTAGAGCGAGTCCTGCAGGATTGGAATGCTTTAAGATCTATGATTATGTTTGGGTCACAGGAGAATAAAGACCCGTATGTATTTATTAAAACATTTTCAACTGTCTCTGCTTCCTGTGTTAGTTAATGTTCCTTTCTACAGTGTGCTCTGCCTCTCCTTGTCTTTTTCCAGCCTGAGTGCCAGCAGTAGGGTAGGCCATCTTTTGCCAGAAGAGCAGGTATACCTCAATCAGCAGAGCGGCACAATTCGGCTGGACTGTTTCACGCATTGCCTTATCGTCAAGTGTACAGCAGATATTTTGGTAAGTTTGTTGATTCTTAGCATCCCATGATTCTAAGTCAGACTGGATGCTTCTGATTACAACCATTCAACCCTGTTCCCTCCAAACCTATACTAATAGCAGCACACAATTGTAAAATAATGCAAAAATTAAGAAAGTAAAAATGTTTAGTGAATTTAACCATAGTAGACTTTTTCACCACAGCCTAACCATTTACTGAAATTAAATGCAACATGTTTTGATATAAAAATTGTTATAAGCAACATTTAAAAAAGAAAAAAAAAACCACAAAATTGGGTATTTATACTTGATATCTTGTATGTATGTATGTATAGGAAATACTAGATGATATTGAATTATAAACTTCATCACCAAATATTTGAATCTCTACTTTGTATTTTGTTAAGTGTACTGTAGTGAATAAACTATATTTAATAATTCTTTTCTAAACAGTCATGATGGGTATATATAGGACTGTGGACAAAAGCCAAGGTAGTGTATATTTGGGGCCCACTTTCTGTCAGACACACAGTGGGAGTTGTGTTGCTTAACCAGTGACGCAGTAATGTTTTGGTTCAATTTGTTTGAAGATTTTCTTGAGGGCTGGCAAGGTGGCTTAGCCAGATATGTAAGTACTTGCCACATAACCTGAGTTCAGACCCCAGGACCCACATGGTAGAAGGTGAAGACCAACTCCTACAAGTTTTCTCTCACCTCCACACACACATATACACACAAACAAAAATCATTTTTAACATTTTATTGGGAACTGTTAACATACAAAAGTTATCAGAGCTGCATTCTTAAATTTAACACCTTTGAAATAATCTCAGCATTAATAGAATGATTACAACTTTTAAAGCTTTTGGATACTCTGCTGGGCACATTAGTAAAAGAACTCCAAAACAAATACACACCTGGACGCCGAGAAGAAGCAGTTGCTGTGACGATGCGGTTTCTACGGTCAGTGGCAAGAGTGTTCGTCATTCTTAGCGTGGAAATGGCATCATCTAAAAAGAAAAAGTAAGGCATTTTAAAAAAAAGTTTTTGCCATGCATTTTTAGTGTGATAATGTTTATATGTGTATAAGAAGACTCACAGAGATTTCTGTTTCCTTTTTGTTGCAGCAATTTTATTCCACAGCCAATTGGAAAATGCAAACGTGTGTTCCAAGCACTGCTTCCTTATGCTGTAGAAGAATTGTGCAATGTGGCAGAGTCTTTGATTGTTCCTGTTAGGATGGGGATTGCTCGCCCCACAGCACCGTTTACACTGGCCAGCACTAGCATAGATGCCATGCAGGGCAGCGAAGAGCTGTTTTCAGTAGAGCCATTACCACCACGGCCATCATCAGATCAGTCAAGCAGGTGTGTTAATTGTCAGTGTGCACAGTGTGCACATGGTGCATTTGCACCTCAAAGCTGTGCTTTTAAGCAGTGCTTAAAAAGGTTTCCTCAAGTCTAGTTTTGTCACCTTAATGCAAGCCTAATGATGTTGTGGTACATATGTGACCGCCATGTGTTAAAGCTGAATATCAGTGACAGAAAACAGAAAGCTTACAAACTCTTGGAAATGTAACAACTCATTGCTAAAGTGTTTTTCAAGACAAGAAATTAAGGAAGAAAAATAATAGCTAGGTGTTGGTGGAGCATGCATTTAACCTCGAGGCAGAGGCAGGTGGATCTCTTTAGTTCTAGGCCAGCCTGGTCTACAGAACAATTTCACGGACAGCCAGGGCTACACAGAGAAACCCTGTCTCAAACAAAAACAAATTAAAAAAAAAAAAAGAGAGAGAGAGAAGAAAGACTCTTCAGCACCGAGGTTTTCTTCTTGACTTCTCTGGAAACTATGTTATTAAGAATGCTTATTGTCATATATCTACTAAATTTCATTTTACCTGACAAAGTCACTGTCGAGAAACTTGTAATTTTCTGAAAGTTTTATAAATTAAGTTCTATAACATCTCAGTTTTAGGTGATTGTCAAAGGATTTTGTTAGCCAACTCTGGACTTCATGTGTTGTTGTTGTTTTTTTAATAGTAATTAGTACATGACATTGATGACTTTTATCTATTTTTAGTGCTTCTAAACCCCACAACACCTCAAGACCTGGTTTTATAACCTGGGCTGCCCTCAAACTCATGGCAGTCCTTTTGCTGAGCTTCCTAACTGTTGGGTTGATATGCACAAGTCACCATGCCCAGTAGAGTTATTTTTTTAATATGGAAAAATCATATAATTTTACAGTGTTTAGTGGCACGTGCCTTTAATCCCAGCACTCAGGAGGTAGAGGCAGGCAAATCTCTGTGAGTTAAATACCAGCCTGCTCTACAAGAGCTAGTTACAGGACAGCCTCCCAAGCCACAGAGAAACCCTGTCGTGAAACCCGGAAGGAAGGAAGGAAGGAAGGAAGGAAGGAAGGAAGGAAGGAAGGAAGGAAGGAAGGAAGGAAGAAAACTACCTTTTTCACTGGGCACAGTGGCACACACTTGTAACCCGAGCATTTAGCAGGCAGAGGCAGGTGGATCTTCTTATGTGTAAAGCTTTTCTCCAGCCTCTGTGCTTTCTGTAATAATGCATCTGTTTTTACCAGGTACTGAGCTTCCTGGTTGGCCAGTACAGACTGCTTATATGGAGGCTCTGTTGGCTTAGTTGGTTCTTAGATAACTCCTTTGGTTCTCATTTCTTAGGAAAACTGAAATGAGTTTTCTATTTTAACATCTCTTAATTTTAATTTATTTTAGTTCATTCCTGAATCTCTAAATTAAATTACCACAGACTATTTAATATCACATCTCCTTTTTCTGGTCTGTGTAAAACTTAATTTCATCTTTATTTTACATGGGAGCACCTACCTTTGTTATTTTTAGGTCAAGTTTTAAGGGAGGTGGGACTTTGAGCACTCTATGTTGATTGTTACTCCATTTAAGGGCAGGATTTATAAACTGATACGCATGCACACCCGCACGCACGTATGCCACGTGTTAGTAGGTAACAGGCTGGTGCAGAGTAAAAACTGTTTGTTGATGGATGGGTGGGTGGATGGATGTTGGCACCTATGCTGGCCTCTCTGAGGAAGCTGGAGGAAAGGAAGAATGAGCTTAAGCATGGGCTCCTGTGAGAAGTGTGCAGTGTGCTGCATCACTGTGACAGCTGGGCTCTCACCACCTGACTCCTTATAGCTCCAGCCAGTCGCCATCATCGTACATCATCCGGAATCCACAGCAGAGGCGCATCAGCCAGTCACAGCCTGTGAGAGGCCGAGATGAAGAGCAGGACGATATCGTGTCAGCAGATGTGGAGGAGGTAGTTTAATTGTTTAAATGCAGTGGGAAGAACAGTGGCTGTCAGTACTTTCGGGAGTAGCTTAAAACTACTGTGTTCCGTCCAACCTGTGGACTTATGGGCTGTATGCGTTAGTATTACAATGATGTCATTAATCTTTCCTTTGTTGAGTACTAGGATACTGAACAAAAACTTGTTTTTTTTTTTTTTTAACTGAAAATTATTGAGTAAAGATATTTTTAGTGTTGAAATTATTGTTTAAAAGTTTAACATTTGAAAGACAGGGAATTGGAGTTTATAATGGCTGAAGGACATAGAAAATGCAACCCTTTCCTAGTTTTAAGGTTCTGGTTATGGACAGAGATTACAAACTGTGGGTGGGACATGTCGATAGAAATTTTGATAGTACATTTTCATTAGCAAATGATTTTTAAAACCGCATAGTATAAATTTAGAATTTCTTTTTTTAGAATGCTTTGTATTTTATTTCACTAATTTTGTGGATGAAACTGATAGGGACAGAGGTCTGCTACGTGCTGTAATTGTCTACAACTCAGCTTCTGGGTTTAGGTTGAGGTAGTGGAAGGCGTGGCTGGAGAGGAGGACCATCACGATGAACAGGAAGAGCATGGGGAAGAGAATGCAGAGGCTGAGGGTCACCATGATGAACATGATGAGGATGGTATGTAGGCTTCTGGGGAAGTTCGTAGAAGAGCCCCATTTGCTCCATAGTTAACCAATTCACTTTTCTGCCAAGGCACTATACAGTATGTTTTAAAGTTTTAGCAAGTAATATATACATACACACAAAAGTACCTCTTCCCTGTTTTTGTTTGCATCAGGGACTCATATATCCCAGGCTGATTGCAGACTCACCGTGTAGATGGCGTGACAGTGAACTTCCATACTCCTGCTTCCACTTCCCAAGTGTTGGGTTATAGATGTGCATGCCTGTGCTGGGGATCCAACTGGGACCTCATGCATACTAAGCAAGCATCCTACCACCTGAACTACATCCCTAGCCTGCCTTCTTTCCTTTCAGTCTTTCTTGTTTGGGCCTGATGGACAACTCAGTGGGTAAAGGCATTGTTGTCAAGCCTGTGACCTGAGCTCAGTCCTAAGAACCCTAGGTGAAAGAAGACAACATATTCCTATTTGTTGTCCTCTGACTTCCACACACAGGTCCTTCTCATTGATCTACCAAATAAGTAATTAAAAAAAAAAAAAATAATTCATTCAGCCAGATGTGGTGGTGTGAGCCTTTAATCCCAGCTCTTGGAAGGCAGAGGCAGGTTGACCTGTGAGTTCCAGGACAACCAGTGCTACACAGAGAAACCCTGTCTCACCCCCCACCCCAACACACACCATTTGTGTATTGTGTGTATGGTCTGTGAGTACAAGCATGTATGTGCCACAGATTGAATATAGAGGTCGGCGACAATTCTGTATTCTGTTACTCTTGCCACCTTGTGAGATCTGGTGATGGAACTCAGATTTCAGACTTTGTACTAGTGTCTGTGCCTACTGAGCCATCTCACTGGCCGGCCCACCTTGTCCCCATTTTCTTAAAAATACTTAAACTGTGAAATGATAAACACTCTGCAAGTTGAGTCCAGATTTTAAATTTAAGGCCAGCCTGGGGCACACAAAAATAACCTATCTGATTCCCCTCACCTATCCTAATTTAACAAAGACATTTGCAGTGGGGGGGAAAAGGAAACAGTCCATAGTCTCCCTGGATAGTACTGGTGTGTGCCTAGAGTCTGTCCACTTACGTCCTGCTGTCCCTGTCCAGTTTCTAGAGGTCAGGTGATCTCTAGCTTTGTGTTTAAGGTAACCAAATCAAATTATTATAATTCTGCATGTCTTGACATGTTACTGTGAAAAGAAAGAATACGTGTTTTAAGTTCCCTTTTGAAGTAAAGTGGATGAAAATAGGACAGGTGGAGAATGGGTGCTGCCCCAGGGCCCTGCAGGAGATGCATTGCTGTGTAAAAAAGCTCACTCATTACAGCACTTGAGTAATTTTTCCATTGCTGAGTAGCCAGTAATTCTTCCTGAAGAAAGCTGTTACCCAGTTCTCTGATTTTATTTTTCTTGCCTTACTTACCAGTGTTCCTTCTTAGTTTCTACCCCTAGGGTATAGTGACTGGATTGTCAGATTGTATTGATTGTTTGTTGAATTTTAATACTTTTCTAGGAAGTGACATGGAGCTAGATTTGTTAGCAGCTGCTGAAACGGAAAGTGACAGTGAAAGTAACCATAGTAACCAAGATAATGCTAGTGGCCGAAGAAGTGTGGTCACTGCAGCGACAGCTGGCTCAGAAGCAGGTATGTTGTTGCCTCATCGGAGAGGCTGCTCACTAAATTCACATTCAGTAACTTGTACTCATTTCCTATTGCAATATGTGAGGCAGCCGGCATGTGCAAAGGCTGTATGATATGCATATGGGTAGCTAGAGCCTTTTTGTATTTTTATTTCTTTTTCTGTGACAGTTCTTGGCAGCCTTTTTTTTTTTTTTTTCCAGTGATGGTTAATTGTAACGTGCATTTAAAAGGGTTCTATTCTAATTAAACTTTATGGTGGCTTCTCAGTATTACATATTATCTGGCACTGTTAAATATAATATTTTCTGAGGTGGTACATGGTAAAGTTAAAATTATCAATGGACTTTTGGCATTTTTTGCTTTAAAATTTAAAACTGTAGGAGCGAGCAGTGTTCCTGCCTTTTTTTCTGAAGACGATTCTCAGTCAAATGACTCAAGTGACTCTGACAGCAGTAGCAGTCAGAGTGATGACCTAGAACAGGAGACCTTCATGCTTGATGAACCACTAGAAAGAACCACCAATAGCTCCCATGCAAATGGTGCTGCCCAGGCTCCACGTTCCATGCAGTGGGCTGTCCGTAATACCCAGCATCAGCGAGCAGCCAGCACAGCTCCGTCCAGTACATCTACACCAGCAGGTAAGTCTGGAAACTCAAGTAGTGATCCTAGGAGTACTTTGTTTATCTAGAAAACTAAGTGTATAAAAGTTCCGTTGAGTTTCATATTATAAGAGGTACATAAACATGATTGTATCAAGATTCCTTAATCTTGGCATTATTTTTTCTCTGGGCTGGATAATTCTTCTTTTGTGCATTGTAGGATGTTAAGTTACATCCATAGCCTTTACCTGGTAGATGTCACTAGTATCCCCAAACTCTGCTTTCTTCTCCACTCCTCCAGTTGTAACAACATATTGCCAAATGCTTCCTTTTGTGTGATGATTGTGAAGTACAGAATTACTCCTGGTTAATAATGTGTTAATTTTTGCCCATCTTAACACTTCCTTCCCCAAATTATATAGTTGTGATACACTTTTTTGCTCATGTACATATTATTAATCATTGCGATTTGTGTAAGCATATACAGTGACAGTAGCAGTTAACAATTATGTTAGCTAATGGTAATTGTCCTTTTTCCTTATAGCAAGTTCCGCGGGTTTGATTTATATTGATCCTTCAAATTTACGCCGGAGCGGCACCATCAGTACCAGTGCTGCAGCCGCAGCCGCTGCTTTGGAAGCTAGCAATGCCAGCAGCTACTTAACATCTGCAAGCAGTTTAGCCAGGGCTTACAGCATTGTCATCCGACAAATCTCGGACTTGATGGGCCTTATCCCTAAGTATAACCACCTAGTATACTCTCAGATTCCAGCAGCTGTGAAGCTAACTTACCAAGATGCAGTCAACTTACAGGTATGACACCATTGCAAAGTTGCTCATTAGAATACAGTGTTTTGCCCATCGCTTAGGAGAATTTCAATATAATGGGAATATTACAAATGCTTAAATGTTGACATACTATTACTGTATCAAGTTTAGCTTTGTTTGGATAGTTTTGACTATTTTAGTTTGATCTTCATAGAACTATGTAGAAGAAAAGCTTATTCCCACGTGGAACTGGATGGTCAGTATTATGGATTCTACTGAAGCTCAATTACGTTATGGTTCTGCATTAGCATCTGCTGGTGATCCAGGACATCCAAATCATCCCCTTCATGCCTCTCAGAATTCAGCTCGCAGAGAGAGGATGACTGCACGAGAAGAGGCCAGTTTAAGGACTCTGGAAGGCAGACGGTATGAAATTCTACATATGCATCTGTGTTTTGAGTCAGAGCCCCTAAATCCTAGGTTAGAACTTTTTGATTGCTGTTACATTTAACCTCACCTTTTGGTAAAGAAGAACTACCTCATGTTACTTGATTTTTGATAGGCAGTTGAAGCAAAATAATTTAGTTAGCCAAGTTATTTTTTTTAAAAATCCATTCGTGTCGTCCTAGGAATCTATTCTTAAAAACTATTGTTAGCCTCTGTTTTCGTTTCCAAATAGCATATTTCTCTCTGCCTCCTCTTTTTAGGCATGTATTTCTGGAAAGACTTGTTTCTGACTAGGACTCATCGTGAATGCAGTTTGTACTTTAGGAAGGGGTAGTGTGTGTGACTGTCAGTACTTCACTTTGGTTTCACAACGCACATTTTCTCTTCCCTGCTTGTTAGAAATGCAAATCAGACATTTTAAGACTGGTGTAAAGGACCCTGAAATATAAGGCTATAAATCATAAGCAGTGATGCATCTAAAGCGTATTTGAGTGCTCTATTTTCTCCTGTGGTTTATCTAATTTTATGTATATGAGTGTTTTGTACATGTGCAGTACCTGAGGAAGCAATAAGAAGTTGTCATATTCCCTTGGAAATGGAGTTATGGGTGGTTGTGAGTCACCGTGTGTGTGCTGGCAACCCAACCCAGGTCCTCTGTAAGAATAGCAAGTGCTTTTAACCACTTCAACCCAGTGGTTTTCATTTCTTCATTTTTCATATTTAAAAGATTTTATATTTGTGGTTCTTAAAAACATCTTTTTTCTTGTTGTTCCTACAGACGTGCTACATTGCTTAGCGCCCGCCAGGGAATGATGTCTGCTCGAGGAGATTTTCTCAATTACGCCCTTTCTTTAATGCGATCTCATAATGACGAGCATTCTGATGTTCTTCCGGTGTTGGATGTGTGCTCATTGAAGCATGTGGCTTATGTTTTCCAAGCCCTGATATATTGGATTAAAGCAATGAACCAACAGACAACACTGGACACTCCTCAACTGGAACGCAAAAGGTATATCCATGCTGTCCTTGAGTTTTGTTTGAGAAATACTTACTTGGTGTACTCTCTAAACGGTTTGGATTAAGAAGACCAGCACCAGAAGCTAACAAAGATATTTCATGTAGAAAAGTGGGCTGAACCTATATCTACTTATTCTGCATGATTTTTCACTTCAAATGAAAGCCCAGAAGCCAGTTAAACTTAATTGGTGAGATACTTGTGCTGAACTCTTATCATAATTTGGATGAGAGTTTATGTAGACACTCAGTATTTCTTTAAGTGATATTATTTATTTTGGCTTCTGATGACCCTATTTTGTTATTATAGGGAATTTGGCAAATCATTTTACCACTTCCCATTATTAGGTATGAGTTAGAGTCTAGGGTAAGGTGTCAGATGGTAAAGGTGTTTATTAATAATCACCTGAGTTCAATCCTACGTGGTGGTAGAGAGAACCAACTCCTGCAAATTGTTTTTTGACTTGCATATGCATGCTGTGACACACTTACACAAACATACACATGAATAGACACCAGAGTGACATTTCTAATGTCCTTTTCTTGCAGCCCCTCCCCTCTGCTCCTTTTCATGTCATGTAATACATGATTTAAATGACCAACTGTGCTCTTTTCTAGGACACGAGAACTCTTGGAGCTGGGTATTGACAATGAAGATTCTGAGCATGAGAACGACGAGGACACCAGTCAAAGTTAGTGCAGGATCCATGGGTGGCTACTTCAGAGATGGCTGCTACCTCAGTTTTTCTCTCTAGGCCTTTAGACTGCATTATGTTCTGTCTGAGTGGGATTTCTCTTCTCTGTTATTTTCCCTACACATCCTCCCATTATATATTTCACAATTACGACCGAATTAATGTGAATTTACCAGTAGCCTCTACCTTTTCTTTCAGAATTTCCCCTTTTCATTTCTCTTAGTTTATATTTCGTCTTCAAATCTTAGGAAATGTTAATTCTTTATTAATACTGATATAAAGTAAATTTAGTTATAAAAACTAAGAGACATTAAGTTTTAATGCCACAAAATTGGAGGATCTTGAAGTCAACCTACCTGGGGGTCATAACCCATTTGGAGATTGAAAATCTTTTCACAGAGGTCACCTAAAACCATTGGAAAACACAGCTATTTACATTATGTTTCATAACAGTAGCATAATTACAATTATGAAGCAGCAATAAAAATAATTTTTATGGTGGGGGGGTCACAACGTGAGGAACTGTATTAAAGGGTTGCAGCATTAGGAAGGATGAGATCCAACTGTTACAGAGCCAACTTGTTTTCTGTTATTTTAGTTGGGAGTTAAAGATTAAAAATCAATAGTTCAATTTCCTATTTATTCCCAGCTAATACTTTTATTAGCTTAGGGAAAGACAGCTGGTCTGAATTTGGTTTTTGTTGATACTGTTTGTGGTGGTAGGTTTGGTTTTTCTCTTCCTTCCTTCCTTCCTTTCTTCCTTCCTTCCTTCCTTCCTTCCTTCCTTCCATCTTTCCTTTTCCTTTTGAAAGTCCAGCCATCATCACCATTTCCATAGTCTTAGTAGGCACTGCCAAGAGTTTGGCTCCTTTAAGGAGAGCTGTTGCTAGTGTGCTGGGCATAGAAGCTGCTTGGCAGCTCCTTCCTTGCCTTGTTGGTTCCAGTGTGGTAAGCAGATAGTGAGATTGTAGCTTCTTTCATCTCCCTTTGCTGTCACCAGGTTGAGTCCTGAACATGCTCAGGAGACTAGCTGCATGCCAGCCCATTCTCTGGATCTAAAGAGCAGGTGTAAGAAACTTGTTCAATTCAACATAGAGTGGAACAGTATTCATATGGCTTTTATTCTTGCATTTTTATTGTGTGATATATATATATATATAAATGCATTCACTTCTTTTGGAATGTCACTTAAAAGAAATGCAACCAATGCTAGCTGTGGTGTCACATAGGCCTTTAATGTCAATACGGAGTTAAGTAGAGGCAGGTCAGCCCAGTCTAAATAGTGAGTTCTAGGACAGCCAAGGCCTGCCACACAATGAGACTGTTTCCAATCCAGCCTTTAACTTGCTTTCTAGTATATGAACATTTTATAAGAGCTACCAAGTATTTTGGACTGAACAAATTAATTTTCTGTTACCCTTTGTATTTACTTTTTTTTTTTTAATTTTTAATGTTTAGGTGCTACTTTGAATGATAAGGATGATGAATCTCTTCCTGCAGAAACTGGACAAAACCACCCTTTTTTCCGACGTTCAGACTCTATGACGTTCCTTGGATGTATACCCCCAAATCCATTTGAAGTGCCTTTGGCTGAAGCCATACCCTTGGCTGATCAGCCACATTTGTTGCAGGTGAATTAAACAGGTCCAGTGTTATTTTACAGCTGATTTTGAAATGTTCACTCTAACTATAATATGTCTTGTTAAATTCCAGCCAAATGCTAGAAAGGAAGATCTATTTGGCCGTCCAAGTCAGGGTCTTTATTCCTCATCTACCGGTAGTGGGAAATGCTTAGTGGAAGTTACAACGGACAGAAATTGCCTCGAGGTAAGATAGTAAAAGTTTACACTGTATTTGTTAGCACTTTTCCCATCATCCAGATTTGAAGAGATGCATTAGTTCAGAATATTTTATTTCCCCCAATAATAGAAATGCCACAAGTCCCTTTTCTTACAGCATAATAGAACTGTTCCTTTGATTGACTCAGTGTCAGCTCTTTTCATACATTACATATCTCTATTGTGTGCTTAGTGTTGGCAGAGTGTGGTTGATATATGCTGCTGAAAACTTAGGTTTCCAGATAAGATCATTTACTACATACCAGCATGTGTCATTTTATCTTCAAATTTCCCTTGATGTGCTGAACTACTTGAACCAAAAATAAAGATAAATAAGTAATGATAAAGATTATTAATGACACCTCAGTAATTCTGTCTCTCGTGTACTGTCTCATTCTTTATAACCCAGGAAAGATTTAGGTAAGAAATAGGGCTTGAGAGATTGTAAATTTCAAGTGGGAATGTTGGTTATCACATAACTAAAGGTTTCGGATATATATGGCTGATTCGAGAGATAAAATTGATTCCTGTTGTTTTTATAGGAAGAAATACTATCATGTTTAAAGGCAGCATAAGAGAAATATAGCCAAATAGATTTTTATAGTTAAGTGGTAAAGGAGAACGTAGGAGACTGTATAACATTGCTTTGAAAATTCTCTAGGCTGCTGTGCTGAGGGCAGTGGGTGTTGTGGTCACCTGAGGACTGGTTGAGAAGAGCAAACTGCAAAAGGAGGGGGGTACCATAGGAGTTAAAAACCTCTTTTTCCCCCTTAATGTGTAACTTTTAAACCTAAAATTGCATAGGTTCTTCCAACTAAAATGTCTTATGCTGCCAATCTAAAAAATGTAATGAACATGCAAAACCGGCAAAAGAAAGAAGGGGAAGAGCAGACTGTGCTGGCTGAGGAAGCCGAGAGTTCAAAACCAGGACCATCTGCTCACGATGTTGCTGCCCAATTGAAGAGCAGTTTACTAGCAGAGATTGGACTCACTGAAAGTGAAGGACCACCCCTTACATCATTTAGGTAATGCCCCTGTGGCTGTTACACTTTTAATTTTTATTAGACTTTTCACATTTTACACATTTGTATATGTATTATAATTACTGTTATTCCTCTGAGGTTTCCTAATTTATTATCAGATAGTTAAATATTAATGAGTTTTCTGACTTCTTAAAAATTGATCTTCTTTTTCCTATATTCAATTTCCAAGATGCTATTTTTCTTACTGTTTAATACTGACTTAAAACTCTGTCGATTACAGACGTGTTATCAGCAGTTTAGATAAGGTGAACATGTAACTACTAGAAAGAATGTAATTTCAGGGTTTGTGACTCGTGTAATTTGGGTTCTGGCAGATAGGTTTTTGTTTACTAAATAATTTACTAGCCTATACTGTTGCTTAGTGTTCATTATCACCAAATGATTTGATAACTCTTGTTTGTGCCTCAGTTTTTTGCTAGAAGTATATAATTTTTGCTTGTTTATGAAATAAGGTATGCTTAGGAGTTAACTAGGACACTGCCAACCATAAAGAGTTTGGGGTAATTTCTGTACCACAGTATCCTAGACTTAGAGGTAATGTGACAAAGTGGTTAGGCCAGGTTGGAGAAAAGAATTAGAGGTCTGAAAGACCAGTTAGTAGTTTTAGCTGGTGAGGAAGAGGACATTAAATTAGCATATTAGCTTTAGGGATGGAAAGAAAATCATGTCAGAGGCAGGTGGTGGAACAGAAGGTAGGAAAAACGCGCTTTACATCTGCAGTGGGAAAGTAGATGGTACTGATGGATATTGTTGTCGTTAGGCCACATTAAATTATACCTGTGTTGGGCTCTAATTAACCATCACTTATGTAGGTAATAAATGAAAGTTCTGGAGGGTATGGAAGTGGAGATGACATTTGACTCTTAAGAGAGAAGATGCCTTGGTGACTTGATATCTGCACATACACATCAAGAACATGTACCCATGGGAAGGGTCTTTCATGAAATAGGATATGGCTTGAAATACTTAAGATATCAGAATATTAAAAGACCAAGAAAGGTAGTGCTGTTGACCAAAAGTGTGAATTTGGGGAATTGGTTAATTGCTTTCTCCTTCTGTTTAACCTCTCACAGGCCACAGTGTAGCTTCATGGGGATGGTCATTTCTCATGACATGCTGCTGGGACGGTGGCGCCTTTCTTTAGAACTCTTTGGCAGAGTATTTATGGAAGATGTTGGAGCAGAGCCTGGATCGGTGTGTGTTTTATGTTCTTGAATTCTATTCTGCATGATAAGATCATGTTTCAGTGAATAATTATTATGTTTTCTTTTTAATTTTATTTTAAGATCTTAACTGAATTGGGTGGATTTGAGGTAAAAGAATCAAAGTTCCGTAGAGAAATGGAAAAACTGAGAAACCAGCAATCAAGAGACTTATCACTAGAGGTGAGTAGATTTTCTTGTATCTATAGTGTGTCACTTCACAACTTTTAGAACATACAGAAATTAAATATATGTCATTGGGGATTTATTTCCTAGCATCTTTTATAGATGGCTTTTTAAAAATATAGTATTAGGCTGGTAAGATGTTTGTCATACAAGCATGAGGGCTGGAGTTGAGATCTCCATACCCCTTTGATCCTTCCACTGGGGAGGCAGAGACAGGACTCTTGGTACACTCCTTGGTTTGTTAAAATCAGCAAGAGCCTTATCTTTAAAAAAAAAAAAAAAAAAGATAGAAAATGATAGAGGGATAAACCCAACCGTCACACATAGTGAAGCATACCTGTACACATGTATGCACAGACACACAAACATGTACGCACACACATGTCATTACAGAAACATGAACTGAAAACCTTTTGTTGTATTGAATTCCATTCACACTATTCTTATTGATGCTTAATTTGTTTGTTTGCTGGCTAGTTTTATCTCCTTTTTAGTGCCTTAGTCCTTTTTAGCATTATTTATCTATAATAGCCTTCCTAGTTACTTTCCACGTGTGTCATGTGCATTTCCCGCCACAGGACATTTCTTTAAGAAATAATAAGGTTTAAAAGGGCTCTAATTTGAGGTTACACATTCTACTAGGTTGGTTGTTATTTCTAGTAGGCCTTTAAGAAATTACTGTGAAATTCACACTGAAAATTTGAATTCAAATTGAAGATGTCCTTTTTTTCTAGACTGAATACCATTGGTGGATAATTTGTTTTTATCCCACATTTTACAGCAGTCTCCTTGGCTACAGAATAAATTCCAGGCTAGCCTGGATTGCATACCAAAATACCCCAAACGAGAAAATGTTCCCATCTCTGATCCATTTGGAATTTATTCTTGTGTACCCAGTGAATGGGATTGATATTCTCTGGTGGATGTTTGTCTTTTCCTTCCTTCCTTCCTTCCTTCCTTCCTTCCTTCCTTCCTTCCTTCCTTCCTTCCTTCCTTCCTTCATTTTGTTTTTCTCAGGCAGGGTTTTTCTATGTAGTCCTGGCCGTAGTCTTTTGCTGCAGCTTTTGCCTATGAAACACAAACATGAGACTCAGCGCCCACGTGGAGTTTATTGATAGAGGGGAAAGGAGGGGGGTAGCTGGTGGCCAGCCGAAAGCAGGAGGGGTGGCTACAGCACTGCTTTAAAAGGGGGAACTTGCGCATGCCTAACTGTGCAGTTAGGTAACTGGTGAGCAGCCAGGTAAAGTGACTTAGTGATAACATGGCCTTGAGTGTCCTGCCCATCATTGGGGGCTGGGTCAGCAGACTGCTGGTTTCCAACATTGGTTGTCCTGGAACTAGCGCTGTGTACCAGGCTGGCCTAGAGCTCAGAGATAGGCGTTCTTCAGCCTCCCAAGTGCTGGGCCAGCTTCTGGTGGCTATTTGAAAGAGTGGATTTAATTCCATTAGCTCTATTTAATGTAGGGCAGTTTCTACTTTGGAAAGTGGTATATTTAGCGTATAAAAGCTTCTGAGCGCTCAGATTTCTTTGTGGAATTTAAACTAGCAAGGGAAAGGTGAGACTCCCCGTGGTTTCTAGTATGGATTTACTGTTTGGTATATTTTAATAGGTCGATCGGGACCGGGATCTTCTCATTCAACAGACCATGAGGCAGCTCAACAATCATTTTGGCCGAAGATGTGCTACCACACCAATGGCTGTCCACAGGGTTAAAGTCACCTTTAAGGATGAACCAGGAGAGGGCAGTGGTGTAGCACGAAGTTTCTATACAGCCATCGCACAAGCATTTTTATCAAATGAAAAATTGCCAAATCTAGATTGTATCCAGAATGCCAACAAAGGGACCCATACAAGTAAGTACTCTGCAGATTTCAAGCATCATAATTATTACTCTTGTTTGTCATAATAAGTGGTAATCATGATTATATGTCTATACATTTATATTTTAGATAATTTTATTCTATGATTTAGTCTTGACAAAACTACTCAGATTGACAGTTTGCTTTTTACTGCACCATGCTCTTTGATGTTTGTGATCACACCAGCTTCTCACATAGTTGTTATCTGTTTATGGTGACAGGTTGTGAGCTCGTCAGTGGCACTGTACAAATCTAGAGAGGGAGTGGGAGTATTTCTGTCACCTCTGTATTAGTTGCCAGCTATGTCAAAACAAACAAACAAACATAAAAACTCAAAACAGGTAGGCTGTTCTAAGATTGATCCAAAAACATGCTGCAATCCCACGAAGTCAAGAGTTTGAGTCCATGTATAAACCAACTGTGTCACTATGATTATTATTTTCATTTCAGTAGGATTTTTCCCTCTTTAAAAATAGGGCTTTCTTTATTAACATCTTGGAGCATTGCAACCTTGTTATGAACCCAACATTTGGGGGTTAGAATTGCTACCTAGTTTTCAGTTGGTACATTTAAAGCTTTATGGAAAATGACAAAGCGGAAGTAATTGGTAATGTGGGCAAAGTATGGTCAGAACATCTCCAGCCTTATAAGTGGGTGGATGGAGTAAGTGGTAAGAGCAAATTCATAGAAATTACTTAGGCTATACCTGAATCTCATTGGGCATATGTAATCTACCTCCATGGAGACTGACTGGGTTGCAGAAACAATATGGGCTGAACAAATGGAGATTTCGCCAGCCCTTGATCACTTTTACCATTTTACTTCTGATAAAAGTAGATTAACAGATTTGCATGAGGAGACCTGATCAATCTTAACAGTTTAGAAATATCTTTATCAAACATTATTAAGAAGCCATATTCAAGGACAAATTACCTGAGATTGATCCCCAGGGCCCATGGTGGAAGGAGAGAGCCCAGTCTTGTTAGTTGTCCTCTGACCTCAACACATGTGCTGTGGCATGTGCATGCTATTTATTGGGGTATAGCAAATACACAGATGTAGTTTTTAAAAAGAATCAAAGAAAAAACTACGGTCAGGATTGAGTATTGGAATTTCATAATAGCTAATGTCCAGTGGTCTACAATGCTCAGAGCCAAAAACTAAGAACAGAGAAAGTATCCAGTGGCTTGGACTGTGTAAGAAATTTCAGCACTGTATGGAATCAATCCAGCACTAGTTGTTACATATTATTTTCATAGTTTTGACAGGAAAAAATAGTTCACAAATATTAAAGTGATATGCTGTATACATTCTATTCTATTCAACTATCAGTAACCCTTAAAAAAACCAAGGAGCTAGGAAATGGTCTAGTAATAGTCTTGCTCTGAGAACAGGAGAACCTGAGTTCACATCCCCAGCACATTAAAAGCTGGGCATTGCTTGTAAGGGCTTAGAACCATGTCGTGGGATGGCAAGTTTCAGTGAGAGAGCCTGTATCAAAAGTGTGCAGCAGTAGATGTCTCTGATGCATGAGCCTAGGCACATGGGTATACAATTTCAATGCACTGACTTTCATCTCATCTTCCAGGTTTAATGCAAAGATTGAGGAACCGAGGAGAGAGAGATCGGGAAAGAGAAAGAGAAAGGGAAATGAGGAGGAGTAGTGGTTTGCGAGCAGGATCTCGGAGAGACCGGGATAGGTATGATGGATTCTAATATTTACTCAGTACTGGCATTTTAGACAAGTTGGATAAAGACTTGTAACTCAGTGTAAGATTTGGAATGGGAAGGATGCAATTCTTACTTTTCTAGTTTATAAGTCTTAATTATGGCAAACTATATTAATTTTATTTTCCTCTTGTTGAAATGGGTTACATTTAATTTTGTTTAAAATTTCCAGGAATTATGGGTAGTCATTCTGGTCCTGTTCCATTAAAATCAAATTATATGTCACATGTAGATTTTTAATGACAAACCTAGATAATTTTTATTCTCAAACATGTTGTATTTAGACTTCCTACCATTCTAGTATCATGATGCACCTGTTTATATGTCCTCTGGTTTTCTATTGACCAAGGTGTGCTGATATTTTGATTTGGTCATCGAAGGAAATAGAGTCAAAAGTGTTCTTTCTTTCACAGAGACTTCAGGAGACAGCTTTCCATCGACACCAGGCCTTTCAGACCTGCTTCTGAGGGGAACCCTAGTGATGACCCGGATCCTCTCCCAGCTCATCGGCAGGCACTTGGAGAGAGGCTTTATCCCCGAGTCCAAGCAATGCAACCTGTGAGTCCTGGGCACTGCCTTACCATTAATAGGATGTGAGCATTCCCCTTTGAATTAAAGTTAGTTATGAAGCAGTTACATGGTTGAGGGCTATGTTTGGCTATACAGTGATAAAAACTTTAGAAGAAATGAAAGTGTTGCTTGGAAGTAACTGTACAACTTGAATCTTTTCCCCCACAAAACTTAGTTCAAGACAATTTAATTCTGCCCAATTTGAATTTCTTTTAGAGTTAGAGAATTAACTGTGATTTATATTTATTTATTTTACTTACGTAAATAATTTTACTTTTTGGAGTCGATGCGATCTGTTAGTAAGCTGTAGCTAAAACAAATGGCAGTTCTTTACTGATGATAAAATAGCTCAGGGTTTCAATTTGAATATTACTAAATTTCCCTCAATGTGAAATGTGGGTTGTTTTTTTCTTTTTGGTCTTTATGTATTTTGTACATAAACTGTAGCTAGAAGACCAATAAAGCAGAAACTCAATTCTGTCTCTTTTCAGTAAGTCAGCCTTAAATAATAAAAGGCACCTTTCTTTCCTCCTTCCTCCCCCCACATAAATGAAAGTGTTTTTGGCTCTCTGAAGAAGACAAAAATTACAGAAATTGCATGTATATTTACTTAGAATTCAAATAGAGACTGTCAACCCCAACAAACTATGCTAGTTCATGAATTACATTCTCTGTCTGAGTTGTCTGATTAACCTTATAGTTTTATAAAAAGCCTTGCTAATTCTCAAATTTTTATTTGAGCTTATTTTTTTAAGGCTTCTCTTGATTGTAACCTTTAGTAAGCAGAGAATTGATCATCTTTTATAGGCATTTGCAAGTAAAATCACTGGCATGTTGTTGGAGTTATCCCCAGCTCAGCTGCTGCTCCTCCTAGCGAGTGAAGACTCTCTGAGGGCCAGAGTGGACGAAGCTATGGAACTCATCATTGCACATGGAAGGTAATGTGTGCAGTTGGAGTGGCATTTCAGTTTAAACACTAGCTGCTTCATTTCCAGAGTGGTTTTTTTTTTTTTTTTAAACCATATGTATCCTAAAAATCATGACAAAGTCGGAGAGTGCTTAAGGGCACCTGTTGCTCTTCCAGAGGATCCAGGTTTTGGTCCTAAGACCCACATAGCTGCTAACAACATGGCCACTCCAATTCCAGAGGATATGATACCCTTTTCTAGCTCAGTGCACAGATACACATGCAGGCAAAACACCCATACATATAATAAAACTAAAATCGTTTATAATTCCTAAATGCAATATCTGAATTTTTTGTGCTTTCTTAGGTTATTTGACATATAAAATTGTAAGCTAGCCTTGAACTCTAACCTCCTGCTTTGGGCATGTGAATGCTGGGGCTTAGAGCTACCATGTCTGGCTTAGAAATTATTTTGTTTAGAAGAAGTATATCTGAAATTTCCCTAGATACAGCTCACATCCCCCCATTGGGAGCACCCACATTATGTGGCAAGAGACCACATTATACTAAAAAAATTTGTGATAAATCTCCTAAATTCCTGTTAAGTATGGTATTTCTTTTAGGGCTCCAGATTCACTAAAAATACCAAATTGTCCCTCTATTCATGGTGACAAATATTAGGAAGATATGTCATATTTAGATGGACTTACTCTTTCAGCCAGTTTGAAGCATGGATTATTTTAAATGAAAATTTACAAGGTGCTATATGAACCTTATACAAGTTAGGTATATTACTCAATGCTTTATTGTTGTGAAGACGCACCATGACCATGGTTACTCTTATAAAGGAACACATTTAATTGGGGAATTGCTTATAGTTTCAGAGCTTTATTCCATTATCAGCCTGGCAGGGAGCATGCAGTGTGCACAGGTATGGTGCTGGAAAAGTAACTGAGAGTTGTACGTCCTGATCCACAGGCGACAGGAAGAGAGAGAGCCACTGCACCTGGCTTGGGCTTCAGAAAGCTCAAAGCCCAACCCCAGTGACACACTTCATCCGACAAGGCCACTACTAATACTTCTCAAACAGTGCCACCCTTGAAGACTAAGCATTCAAGTATCTGAGCCTGTAGGGATCATTCTTACTCAAATCACCACTGTGGTACCACCACTGTGTCACCATCCAAGACCTTAGCTGTGATTAGCTACAATTCTAGAAGTAGTATAGATAGCTGGGCTGAGCAACCGGAGCTCAACAACCACTTCTCGGCCTTTTAGTGGCCCAAGCCAAAAGCTATTCATCTACTGATAATTTCCTTTGCTATTATTTTCCTCTGGATTTTTTTTTTTTTAAATTTTTATTTATTTGTTATGTATAGGGTGTTCTACCTGCATGTCTGCCTTCAGACCAGAAGAGAGCACCAAATTTCATTATAGGTGGTTGTGAGCCACCATGTGGTTGCTGGGAATTGAACTTGGGACCTGAAAGAGCAGCCAGTGCTCTTAACCACTGAGCCATCTCTCCAGCTTTTTTTCTGGACTTTTCTGTATTTCTTTATTCTTTGCCTTGTCTCTGGAGCTGTGAGCAGACTGAGAAGAGCTTAGTCTATTGTATAGAAAGTTGAAAGTTGCATTTTTTATAAAAAAAAAAAAAAAAAAAAAGATTTTGTAAATGTAAGTAAGCATTGCAAATTTAGTACTTTTTGTTGAGCTAAACTGACTCTGGTTTTATGGAGTGAACAGTAGTGGTACATAAGAGAATTTGATTGCTGGTATAATTGTGTTCTGGGCATTTTCCTGCTTTTTGTGCATTGCTTGTAGAAAAGTTTTAGCATAGTAATAAAGATTTGTCTTAGCCTTATCTTGAATTGTATGTGTAGCAGCTAGTGGTGTTTTTGGGTTTTGGTTTTGAAACATATCTTAGCAGTATAGCATAAATACTGTCCTCAAGTTTGCTGTGTAGTGCATGCTCCCACGCACTAGGATTTATTTATAAGCATATTCCATGGTTTTGGGCTAAGTTGTTTTTTAAAATGTGTAATATACTAAATTTCACACCTCCTTGGAATGTAAAAGGGTTCCTTTATTTTTTAGGGAAAATGGAGCTGATAGCATCTTGGACCTTGGATTATTAGACTCCTCAGAAAAGGTACAGGTAAGGGATTTTCAGTACACGTGTCAATGAACAATTAGAACAATCAATCGGGGGGATAGGGGGAGAGGAAATTATGATTTACAGCACAGAAAGAAATATGTGGTTATAATATACAGAATAAAATTTAAAAATTGATTGAGTTACATATTAACATAATACCAGCCACTTGGCTGTTTATGTTTGAATATAGACCAAATTAAGCGTAGGTTTGAAGATCCAGGGAACTGAATAGAAGAGGAAAGTGGCAGTATAGACTCTTAGGAGCCACTCCTCTAGGAAGCTGCTGGTGCCAGTGATGCAAAGAAAACGATCTATCACTTTGTGGGCATGGTGTGGTTTGTTTCTTATATTGTGTAATTAATCTTCTAATGCTAGCTGAGAAGCACAAACTCACTATAATCTCTTTCACTGGTCACAATTAAAAAAAAAAAAAACTCAGTGCAAATGCAAAACCTATGAATTCTGAACAAATAAATAGCAACTTGATAAATGACCAGTACATTCTCTTTTCAGCTGGAGGGTAAAACTGAACCTTTTTTCTGTCTTACCTGAAAGTAGCAAAAGCTTTTGAGAATTATTCTGCATGGGAAGCGCTACCCAGGTACCACATACAGGTGGTATATATACAGGACACTCTGAAATAGCACAGCTAACCATTTTTGAGATAGAATTGGCATTGTAACTTCTGTTGTGCTAAAAACCCTCCTCCCTCTAATGCAATTTTTAATACAGCTTAGAGTCACAACCTACAACTCAAAATGTACCAGCTACAAATCTTTCTAAGCCCAAAAACTACTCAACAGAGAACCAGACAGGACTGACCAGTTCTCCTCAGAAAAGAATTTGTCTGTAGTTGGTGATGAAGTTCTCAGTAGGAAAATAAAGTTTAAAAAAAGAGATCCAAACAAGTTTGGAATACAAACACAGTCCCCCAAAGAAAAAAAGTCATTGGATTATTAGGCCAATAACAAAATGAATATAGCAATATTAAAAGAGCCGATGACACTGATACCTTTGGAAGATACTTGAAATAATGGTGGAGAAATAACTTTTTAAAAAGATGTGTATTTCAAGTAGACTGCACTAAAACTGTCCAGACACAATGAAATAGTCAAAGAAGAAAACTGGTTTGAAAAACAGTTGGTTTCTTATCTGAAACTACAGAGGCCATCATTTAAATTCTGAAAGAACTGTCAATCCAGAATTCTACAAAAAAAAAAAAAAAAAAAAAAAGCTTTCTAGGCAGTAAGGTTGAAAGAGCATGGTTTTTTTTTTTTTTTTGTTTGTTTGTTTGTTTTGAAGATTTTTTTTTTTTTAAACTCTAGCCCAGACTGACCTGGAACTTATTTGGGTGATGTTATTGCTGGGATCGCAGGCCTGTGTTGTTGTGCCTGGTTTGTGCAGTAGAAGATGAACCCAGGGCTTTGTGCTCCTATCTCCGTCTCCCAGTGCTGGGATCACAGGCCTGTGCAGCAGGTGAACCCAGGACTTTGTGCATGGCCAGGCACATACCCCCAGTCATCTGAGGCCCAAATGTTTTTATTTTAATAGCAGAAATTAAGACTTAGCATACATAAGGTTTGTGTAGTATAGCTTGGAGTTAAATTAACTTTAATGTTATACACATTTAAATATGAATGTTCTGATTTTCTTTTACTTTGAATGATTTCAGAGAACCAGTTCTTATATTTCATTTTTTTAAAATGAGCTCAGGAGCCTCATCTCTCATAACTTTGTTATTAGGAGAACCGAAAGCGCCATGGCTCTAGTCGAAGTGTAGTGGATATGGATTTAGATGACACAGATGATGGTGATGACAATGCTCCCTTGTTTTACCAACCTGGAAAGAGAGGGTTTTATACTCCAAGACCTGGCAGAAACACAGAAGCAAGGTTGAATTGTTTCAGGAACATTGGCAGGTAAACTAACTACCCTTAATTTTTGAATCTGGGGATTGGACCCAGGGCTTTGTCATATCCTAAGCATGCTCTCTACCACTGAGCTACTCCTCTAGCCCCAAGTGTTCTGTGTAGCCCAGGCTGGGCTCCCAGGGCTACGGAATTAAGAGGTGTGTCACTACACACCTTGGCTAAAAATAACATTAACTTTAAAATTGGATATGTATTCAATTTTATGCTAGGTAGAAATGAGGCTTAGAGAAGGTCTCAAAATATTATATATATATATTTATTTAATGTATGTGTGGGACTAAGTCTACAATTAGTTTCAAATTTAAATTATATTTCTGTTCTTATTTTTAGGATTCTTGGACTATGTCTGTTGCAAAATGAACTATGTCCTATCACATTGAATAGGCATGTAATTAAAGTGTTGCTTGGTAGAAAAGTAAGTTTGATGCATATAACTGATTTTACAATTGTAAACATTTCTTTTGCAAAGTAAATGATGGTATCCTGTAGTTTGTGTTAAAGCATTATAATCATAATTGTCGAGTATTTAATGACATTGCTAAAGTCTTTGAATGTGGGGAGACGGTACAGTAGAGTTGGTTAACTGTTATGGTTGGTTCCTGACAGTCCTGGATCCTACTGAAGAGAAAACTTGACAACTTTATAAAAATACTATGTATGCTTGGCACACAGTGCTCGGGAAGCCAAAGCCACTGTAATTGATTACAAGTGGGTGGCAGTAGAGTATAGAGATAGTTTTGGAAAATACATGTTCAGTGCCACAGAGAGGCCAAAGAGAGTAAATAAATAAAGCAGCCATGCTTAGAATTCCTCTGGCTTATAAAATGAGATTATTTATTTTCTTCATGTGTTGATAGTCTAACAGCCTGGCAAGATTAACATGTGCTGCTAATTACTCAGCTGTATCACAACAACAATTTCTAAAGCTACTGCAAAGAGAGCAGAGTCTTTTTCAGATGTGGCTGTACAATACTCTAATTAGTTCCTCTATTGATTTTTTAATAGGACATTTCCACCTATGTCCACAATTTATTTTGGTCATATCCCCATTCTGCTCATGTTGTTTTGTCCCCCTTTTGTTCTCTTTAGTCACCTTCTGCTTTCATGTCTGTGTGTGATCGAGTGGTTTTTGTTTGTGACCTAGTGGGTATCATTAAGGTTGTTAACAGGAGCATGGGCATGTGGCCAATGGTTAAGTCACCAAAGAAACTGGTCTCTCCTCCATCACCAGCCATTAACTGTATAAATTGCTAGGGATATGTGGGCACTGTGGTCCCCTCTGGTCCCTGACTTGGTATTGATGGCCCAGTCTAAGCAGGTAATCACAGCTATCCTGAGTTTGATAGCTTAAGAGCTTGCTGAGCTTTAGTCAGTTTCCGTACTGCTGCTTTCTCTGGCTTAGACACGCACACCCCACAATGTCAAACACACACACACACTCACGCACGTGCGTCCCCCCACCCTACTTCTTATACAATAAACTCTGAGCCTTGAGTAGTATACAGATCTCCCATTTATGGCTGAACAGTCAACACTCTTTCTTAGTACTTTGACCAGGTGAGTCTGCAGTAAAACTGAACCACTGCAGAAAGAAACTTCTCTAACAGAAGTTGACAGCAGCACTAAATGTGTATGTATAAAAAATTATTGAGAAGACAGTTTGGTAGGTACACCATGTACATTCAACAAAATAACTACAGAGGCCTCTCCACTAGGTCCTATGACTTCCTTTCATGGGTGTTTGATCACATTTTAGTACCAAATTAATTTTCTTTAGCTAAATCACTGGATATTGCTTTCTCTTTAAATGAGCCTATTATAATGGAGGTATATATTTTCCTTTTTAGCTGGGACCACAATTTGACCCTTGACATGTCCAGCTAAAATGCTCTTGTGCATAAAACTTGAGTGAAGACCAAAGCTCTTAAAAATAAGTGTTGTTAGTATGTTAACTCTTTAGCTCATGAGATCTGGTAGACCAGTTTAACTCAGGGATGAGATCTTTGTAAGTTCCCAAATTTCTTAGAGCAGTTTAGATTGTATTTAGTAACCTGCATTGTATGAAGGCCATCGAGAGCATATGAAATAGTCAAGAGCCAGCTTATTCATATAATCAATGTTTAATAAATAATGCTGGCTTTCCAAATTATTTTTGATATTTATTTTTAAAGCCTGCTGTTGACTCTACCTCATAGCAATTAACTTTTTAAATTCCTGTTATGAAAAATTAAATGAATTGTCAAAGCCAAAGATTTGTAATTTTTCCCCCTCTTTAAAGCGGTTTTATGTGTTTTGTGGGAAATCTGTTATCACTATACCTTTAAATTGAATAAAATTAGGGCTGGGATAGCTCAGTGGTAGAGCACTTACTTAGTGTGCACACAGTCCTGGATTCAATCCCTATCACTTCCCCTCCCCCCAAACATAAAAGTTATCACAGACTGTAATTTACTGTTGGCTCAAGAAAAGAGGCTGCTTTTCAGATTGTCTTGTGTGGTTTATTCCTTAGGTCAACTGGCATGACTTTGCTTTTTTTGACCCTGTAATGTATGAGAGTTTGCGACAACTGATCCTGGCATCTCAGAGTTCAGATGCTGAGGCTGTTTTCTCAGCAATGGATTTGGCATTTGCAATTGACCTGTGTAAAGAAGAGGGTGGAGGACAGGTAAAGCAAATCCACAGTTTTCAGACTTGATGGGGATTTTTGTACTTATTTAGGCCAACAAGGTTTGCACTTCTCAGATATTTGTCAGATAAAATTCTCATGAACTGTTACTGTTTTTCAGAACTGCTTTTAAATGTCACTGCTGAATTTTTCATAGGTTGAACTCATTCCAAACGGTGTAAATATCCCAGTCACTCCTCAGAATGTGTATGAGTATGTGAGGAAGTACGCAGAGCATAGAATGTTGGTAGTTGCAGAACAGCCATTGCATGTAAGTATTCTCCAGAAGAATATTATGTCATATAATGAAGCTATTTTTATTTTAGCATTGTGGTGAAATAGCCCAGTAATCTGTCTACATAAGGTCCAGGTTTTCAAATGTAAGATGAATTTACAATTAAAGTTGAGAGTTCAGACTAAGTACTCATTTTCTTTTGGATAACTATTGGAAACTATATAATGATCAGAAAATAGCTCTGGTGAGCAAAAATTCAAAAGGAGCTTGTAGGGCTGAAATGTAGTTCTTTAGGCATCTCATAACCTAACTTAGGAGTCACTGGATTCAGCCAGTCTTACTTACTAAATGCAAAGACACCCCTAGCAACATAAGCAGAGGAGGAGGCTGTGTTAGGCAGAGCCTCAAGGGTTCCAAGTACAAGCATCACCAACATTTGTTTAGGGGAGCCCAAATTGTCACGGCCCAGGTTTTTATTGGTGGCTAGTCTTGAAGTGTTTCCTGTTTGCTCACCCAGCCATGATTACTGACTGACATTTTAGAGGAAAGCAGGTTTCCACTGTCAACTGTTAATATAAATAGTTTAGACTGGTGCTTACTCATTGCCCTAGCAGTTGTGGAGGGGACATTCCAGAAATGAAATTCTCAGGACAGCAACCAGCTCTGCATTCTGGACCTGTAATATAAAAGCTTTCCCTTTCCAGGATAAAGCTTCTATAAATTCAAAAGTGGGGCTGGAGAGATGGTGGCTCAGAGGTTAAGAGCACTGGCTCTTTTTCCAGAGGTCCTTAATTCAATTCCAAGCAACCACATGATGGCTCACAAACCATCTATAGTGAGATCTAGTGCCCTCTTCTGGCTTGCAGGCAAGCATGCAGACAGAACACTGTCTACATAGAAATAAATAAATCTTTAAAAAGAAAAAAAAAAATTTCAAAACTGGTGGTGATTCTTGTACTAGGAATTATACTAAGTGTAATACTCTACTACCTCCAGGTTACTTAATACTTTAGTGCACTGATTTCATTCTCTACAAAATTGAACAATTAATGAATGGAAGGTACCTGAAACAGCTCTGGGTACATTTTTTAAAACACGCTCACTCCCTTCCTCATTCACACACTGGTTCATTTTTGAATAAGTGTCTAGATTTTGAGTCTGGGAAGTTTGTTGTTACTGTGCTTTTTCTAAGATGCACTTTTGCCAGGTACAGTGATGCTCATCTGATGTGCTGCTGGTGTGTTGTTTATATAATTTAACAAGTAATGTCAGCTTTCTACTGGATATAAAAACCACTAAGTAACTTCTGAACTGTAGCCTGTATAAATAGATGTCATGGAAAATAAAGTACTGATTATAATAAAAGAAAACATTTCAAATTCTCTAGGCAATGAGGAAGGGACTACTAGATGTGCTTCCAAAAAATTCCTTAGAAGATTTAACAGCAGAAGACTTTCGGCTTTTGGTGAATGGCTGTGGTGAAGTTAATGTGCAGATGTTGATCAGTTTCACCTCTTTCAATGATGAGTCAGGTAGGAAACTGCAAGTCTGCAGAGATGAAGCTGGTGTGTTTGCTCAGTGTGCCCTCTCAGATCTGAGAGACTATTTCCCAAGACCTGAAGACGATAGTCGGGTTGGTGTTTTAATTTTTTTATTATTACCTTTAAAGGTATGATTAAATGAAATTTTGATAGCTTAGAATTAGATTATTCTTTTGTTCTTTATGGGAGGCCTACATAGGAAAATATGAAGTTTGAGGCCAGTCTGAGATACATAATGAGAACCTGCCTTTAAAAAAAACCAAAATGTGTGCATGTATATACACAAACACAAAGATGGATATAATTTAGAACACAGTAAAATTGTTTGTGGGAGAAGATAGATGACTTTTATATTCATACTGCAGTAACAAAAATAATAAGTGCTCTCATAATATTTGCTTTGTACATTTATAACAGTATCACTGTATTGTAAGGACACAAAGTTACATGGTGAACCTAGAAGAGAAAAAAAAGTAGTGATAATCTTTTGCAAATTAGCTTTATCTCAATGTTTTATTTGCCCTGAAGTTGTTTTATTTGTAGACTTTTAAACTTTTGAAGTTGATTCAGAAAATTGTAACTATACTACAATTACTATATGCATGAATGAGATTTTTCCCCCTTTTGTTTTCTATAGTTATAGAAAATCTATAATTATAGATTATATTTTTATTTTTCTGGTTTTTGGTTCTTTTGAAACAAGGTCTACTATATAGCACTGGCTGTCTTGCAGCTCACTTTGTAAGACTAGGCTAGTCTGAAGTCACAGGGATCCCACTTGCCTCTGCCTTCTAGTGCTGGGTTAAAGGTATGTGCCAGCCCAAATTACAGAAAAATTTAAAAAAAAAAAAAAAAAAAAAAAAAAGGAAAAATGTATTTATTTTTTGGGTCTCTTTATTCCCTTTGTGCTTGGTAATTTATAGGTTGTTATATAGTGGGTTTTGTGACACATTTTAAGGTTGGTACTTAGAGGAACTTGGTTCATTTGAAAACCAAAACTATAAAAGGGAAAACAGACAATATATGTAAAGATATCAGGTCAGCAGCATTTGCGTTGAGAAAATATTTTAGAAAGGTGTCTCTGGTGTCCTTTCCCTCACCTTGTAGGCTCAGTGAATGAATGCAAGTCTGCCTTTTAAAGATCTTATGTGGCTTATAAAACTTAGTTATTATGAGAAGACTCAGGTTTCCAGATGGGTTTTACATTGTGTACTATTTATTGGATGATGAGAGTTCACTTTTCTTTACCTATTTCAACTCAGGATTACATAATTATTACAAAGGTTTTGAGATGTGCAAATAACCTTAATTCCTATTAGGAGTTAGTTGTAAATTTTAAAGTTTGCTTTTATTTATGTAAGAAGTTTAACAGTATTAAAGAAACAGCATCTAATACAATACACTGACTTTATATTCTCAGGAGAGAATGCTGAGAAACTCCTACAATTCAAGCGTTGGTTCTGGTCAATAGTAGAAAAAATGAGTATGACAGAACGACAGGACCTTGTAAGTTCCACAAAATTTGTAGGATGAAATACAAGGGTTTTTGTTGTTTTGCTTTGATGGTTTAGGAGATGGGGTGGTGGATTTCCCTCTTGAAGAACATAGTTTCCTGATACAAGTTCTGTGAAATCGTCTCACTATTTACTTTGAATTTTTTTCTCTCTCTCTCTCTCTTTGATGTATATGGGCATTTTACCTGCATGTCTGTGCACCATATACATGTAGTGCCTTCCAAGGCCAGAAGAGATCATCAGATTACCCTGGGACTAGAGTTACAGTTCATTTTGAGTCATTGTTTTGGTGCTAGGAATTAAACCCAGGTCTTTTGGAATAGCATCCAGTCAGTGCTCTTGTCTGAGCCACCTCTTCAGCCCCATCTCATTCATTCTTGAAGAAACTTTTTACATGAAACCGTTTCTTACTGTTAAATGAGTTGATGGATTTGTGTTTTCTTTTCCCTTTGTAGCATTCTGAGATGATGTTTCTTATACAATTATGTTTTAGAAAATAACTCAATTAAGTTTCTGAGCTGCTCTGGGAAGTCAGATTGACTTCAGTGCTTAGTTATGCAAAGTAAATGCCACAGATTAAATTCTGTCATAGAAAATTGATGCATGTATATATGGGGTAGATCATCACAGAGTGATTTGTGTTCATAAAAATAAATACTGCAAAGAAGAATTTGGTATATTTAGTAACAGAAATAGAGTAACAGTTGATACTGGGCATCAATTGTTTACGCTTGCAGAAAATAAATTGGTACTGGAGTTCCATATGACTTTATTGTGTCAATTTTGTGTACTGTGGATATTAGCATTCATAACACCATATTATTTTTGCTAATAGATAAAATATTGTTTATACAGTTTTTCTTTTCTTTAGAAACATGTTTTCCCAAGAAAAGAGACTTGAAAGCCATAATATAATACCTTTAATCCTATTTTTAAGGGGTATTTTGTTTTGTTTCATATCTTTTCCAGATTATAATTACATTGTTTCCCCCTTTCTCCCTCAAAACTCCCATGTGTATCCTTCCTTGCTCTTTTTTTTCAAATTCATGCCCTCCCCCCAATGTACGTTTTAGTTCTTGTTCCTAAATGCATAAATAAAACCTGCTCAGGCTGTATAATGTCATTAGATGTATGTTTTTAGGACTGACTTTTATATTGCATGACCAGTTAGTGTGCTTTCTTTAGGAAAGACTATTTCGTCTGCTCTCAGCATCATGTTTGTCTATAGTAATTTGTTTATGGTTAAAGGCTCTGCCCCCAAAATCCACCTTAGCATGTCTGTTGTTTTGGTCAGCTCATATTTGGGCAGCCTTTCTGTGAGACTTTATTTTTAAGTTAGGGTTTAAACATCAACGTGATTTGTTTATATGGCCAGCATTAAGGTTGACTATTAAATTTATAAAAGCCAATTATAATTATATGTTCTTATTTAGGTTTACTTTTGGACATCAAGCCCATCATTGCCAGCCAGTGAAGAAGGTTTTCAGCCTATGCCCTCAATCACAATAAGACCGCCAGATGACCAACATCTTCCTACTGCAAATACTTGTATTTCTCGACTTTATGTTCCACTCTATTCCTCTAAACAGATTCTCAAACAAAAATTACTACTCGCCATTAAGACCAAGAATTTTGGTTTTGTGTAGAGTATAAACAGTGTGTATTGCTGTGTAATATTACTAGCTAATTTTGTAGATTTTTTTTCCCATTTGTCTATAAAAGTTTATGAAAGTTAATGCTGTCATATCCCCTGGTGGTACCTTAAAGAGATTAAATGCAAACATTCCTTGCTGAGTGTGTAGCTTAAAGGCCTGAGAAGCACTGGCATCTTTTGTCTATGATGGTCCGCTAGTCGCCAACTTCTCAGTCTAACCCCAGCCAAAGATGACAGCAGAACAACATAATTTACACTGTGATTTATCTTTTTTGCTGAGGGGAAAAAATGTAAAATGTTCTGAAAATTCACTGCTGCCTTTGTGGAAAGTGTTTCAGCAAAGGTTCTTGTATAGAGGGAATAGGGAATTTCAAAATAAAAAATTAAGTATGTTCTGTGTTTTCATTTTAACTTTTTTATGGTGTTTAATTTGTGGTTGGCTGCAATTGTATATTATGTACATGGAACTTGTAAAAAGTTCTTAGCATTCAGATTTTAGAGACAAAAATCACTTTTACCTATAAAAACCACTTTTATTACGGTTTACTTCAGTTGCATTGCGCTCCAGGATATTAAATGATACTACTAATATTTTGCATGTGATTTGTTCAGTCGAGAGAGGGCACTTTTCCTGTTCATATGATGGGGCCAGTACAGAATACTTTATCACAGTCATCTTCTTTCCTTTGTATCCCTGTTTCAATGCAGTCAGACTGCCCACTGCCCATGAGTCCTAACAGGCATTTGTGCTAAGGGAATTCAGTTATGTATACTCAGCTGGGCACTTTCTGATAACTGTAAAATGTTTTATAAGATCATGATTACTGAAAATACATTTTGGAAAATTTTAAATGTTCGTGAACAGCTTAACTACTTTTGTATCTAGCCTTTTTTTAAGTATCTTGTTATATTTTACTTTTTAAAATAAATTACAGAAGAAATGCCAAGTAATATGAAGAAACAGTTTTTATTTATATAGTTAAACATTTTTTAAGCTAGGGGCAATGCACTGACATGGTTACATTCATATATTTTTTTTTTTTTTTAAATTTCTATACATATGGACTATAAGAAAGTTAAGAAAACCAGTCCACATTTTACAGTTAGCAGAGAACCCTGAATGGCACCCAGCCAGGCCTTTTCTTTTTACAAGTAGAAGTGAAGTGTGACCATTAAATGGCACAGAAAGTTTAACTGAAAACTAAATGACAGGGTTTTTTTTTTTTTTTTTTTTTTTTTCCTTTCTTTTTTTTATTTAAATGACTCTGGTCTATGATCAAATACCCTTACATTTCATGGACTTAGCAGTTTTATTCAGTGGGATAACAAGGAGCAAAAGGTCCCTCTAGGACTTAAACTAGTTACTTTAAATTAAAAATGAAAGACATTCTCTTGTCACCTATCTTTTCAATTCCTGTTTAGGACTTCTAGCCTTGGACAGATGTCATGTTTAAAGGGAGTGTACTTTTATTATATAATTTCCTTTAAAGACTGAACCACATGGCATTCACAATCCTGTTAACACTGAATATAATGAAGGTCACTATATTACTTAAGACGTATACAACATCATGCTGTATTAGATGTGTGTGTAAGTTAGCCAAAATGAGACACTGGTTTTTATGTTTAAATAATATTCTGAATTAAGAGCTAACAAGCATCAGTGTGTTTGAAAGGTATAAAACATCAATATAAGCCCTGTGTATACATGACAGGCTTGATCAATAGTAAATGAACAAATTAGATTAGGACACTTGAAACCCTAATTGTAAATTTATTTTTACTAGTTACTGAAAGAGTGAAAATATTTTAAAAAATGCGTTATTTAAAATAATGTGAAATGTCTTCCTAAATCAAGATTTTGGTTAAAATGCTTTTTAATAACAGTAAAAGCAGAGTGAGGTGGGGTTTTTTTTTTTGTTTATTTTGTTTGTTTTTTTTGTTTTTGTTTTGTTTAATTAAGAAAGCATAAACTGGTTCTAAATGTAAAATAAAGTCATATAAAATAAGGTTCTCTTTTGGTCTTGTTTAGCAATTAAGTGAAACAGAACTGGAGACATTCAGAAAGACCAAGAATGAACTTTACTGGTTTTTTAAGCTTTGCTATGTCTCATTTTCCCCTAAAGCATGAATATCGAGATGGCTCTGTCATGGCTTACTGGGCTGGGCTTGAGAGGGTTTTTCAAAAGAAATATTTTACTACATTAAGTTTCCAGAAAACTAAAGCTAAAACTGAAATAATTCTCATGCTTTTATATGGCAGAGATTCACTTGTGGCTTGTCAATGCAGGGACCTGGGCACTTTCTGATACTTTAAATGGTGGAAGTCAGCAATTTTCATTCACAAGAGAGCTGCATCCAGGTGAATTTAAAACTTGGCCCAAAGAGCATTCCATTTCACTCATGTATATAAATCCACTATTAAGTTTTCTTAAAGCCAAGCCTTTCCTACTTGAAATCTATGAAAAGTACAACTGTTGATCAATCCTGACTCTTTCACTTGATCGGGGATGGATGGATGATATGCCCTTAATGGACTGCCTGGGTAGTTAGTGGTTGAAAGTACTTTGTCATGTATGTTTACATCAACTGAAATGGGTATGAACATACAGATAAAACTTAAAATACCATTTAGTTACCTCACATGCATTTACAGTGTGGCTTAATCTCTTATGTTATTTACAATTCATGCACATTTGATTGCTGATTGAATAACTTTTCATTATTTTCAATGTCATGTTACTGTCCTTGAGGAACTGATTTAATGAGGATTATCCATCTATTAAGGCACTGTGAGTTTACATTCTTAACTTTGGATTGCAATAGTATTTTGTGGAAGGTATGAGCATGCAACTGAGTTACAGAATAGTGAAGTGTGCCAGAAGGTTCTAGCTGCATTATTATATTCAGTCTGGCGCCTTAAACCATGTGGCCGTCTTGATGTTCTGACTATGCTATTTTGAAAAAGTAGTGGTTCATAAACTTGCTAAAGATAACAACAGACTTATCCTTGAGTTATTTTCCCCCAGTGGTATCTAGAACTTTAAGATGTGGGATGCTCTAAAGTCAACAATGTTATATATCTTTTATATCCAAATGTCTTAAAATGAGAAGCATACAACGAAAACCTGATTTTATTATTCTAACTTCTCTCTTTAAAGTCCATAAGGATGGCAAACTCAAAAAGATGGGTCCATGGGTAAAGACACTTGCTGCCTAGCCTGATGAGCTGAATTAAATCTCTAGAACCCACAAGGTAGAAGAAGAGAACCAACTGCAAGTTGTTCTCTGGCCTCTACATGTATGTTATAGTTTATTAGAAAAATTCTGCCCATAGCACAACATAATCCTCAACTATCAAGAAGTGGATTGGGGTAACAAATGAGGAACACATAATAGTTGCCTCAATACAAATGAGAAACATGTAATAGTTGCCTCAGTATAGGCACTAAACAAGTAAAAAAACAGGTTTGGCGTTTGGTTACTACATTTCTGCTTCATGGTAAGTAGAAGTAGCAAAACTTAGAATGGAGAAGGTAACGAACATTGAGGAATCCAGCACAAGGAGCTGTTTAATGTAGAAACATTTTGTAATGCTAAGCTGGTCTAAACTATTTGAACATTAATGTGTTTGACATGCTTCCATCTTTACACATTTCAGAGCCAGTTAACGTTTGCTATTTCACGAAGACATTTTACATACTCTGTGATAGAAGGCAGTGATGAATGCTTAAAGGATAGATGGTGTAGGATTGGGGAGTATAGTCATATACATGCTTGTAGTTCATAAGTACATACGTGAAACCAAAATCCACAGACATGGACATCAGAAGACAACTTTGTGGAGTTGGTTCTGCCTTTGGTGGGTTCCAGGGAACAAACTCAGGTCACCAGTGTTGCATTGTAGGTTCCTTTACCTGCTGAGCCATCTTGATTGCCAACATTTTTAAATTAATGAACTGCAATAACTTAGGACTGTACTTACCCTTTGTTCTGTGTTTATCCTGGATGTGCCAATGCCTGAAATGTTTGGGGAAGTGTTCTTCATACAGTTACTGAGAAGCAGGCAATCTGTATTACCGACTACTGATTCGTTTTATGCAAATGCTTTATTCACTATGGCTTTAAGGTTGTCAGAGCTACAACAGCGATTATAAAGTGATCCATGCTTAGAACAGAACTTTTCTTCCTGCCAAGAGTCCATTGCTAAAAGGCATTGCTGATTGTGTAGTCTCTCATGTTTTTAAACTTGTAGTCATCCTATACTACTTACTATCTTTCATAGCTACTCGCTGATGAAGGCATCTTGAAAAGATGTTCTTTAAAAAGAAAAAATAGGATTTATTCTTACTCTTTGCATATGTGTGTTCCTCCTGCATGCATTTGTGTCTGTACTGCTATGTACTGCATGTATGCAGTGTCCATGGAGCTCAGAAGGCAGTGTTGGGTCCCTTGGAACAAGAATTACAGAAGGTTGTTAGCTGTCATGTGGGTGTTGGGAATTGAACCTAGAAAGAGCAGTTGGTGCTCTTCTGGGCATCTCCCCAGCCCTGGGAAGACTTGTAACATTTATTAATCCATTCTTCCTTTCATTCCCATTGCCTTGTATCAAGTTTGCATTATCATGCAAATAGCCTATTCCATGTGGCTCTAGTCTGTAAACCTCCAAATGTGCAATCTTCCTCTCCATTGGAGGTCTTTCTGAATAGTAAACATGGCTTGTTAAATATAACTCCATATACTTAAATAGTTTTAAAACAAGAGTTTGGTGTTTGTCAATTTTCTGCATGGATTTTTATTTTGATTGAGAACAGAGCCTCAAGACCTGAATTGTTTACAGGGGACTTCTTTTCCCATGTTGAATTTTTGTTCATAGATTCTCTTTTCTGTGTTTAGAAGTGACTGGCTGGCTATTTGAACTGTTGGTAGATGTTTGCATTGTTATCATGATGTTGATTGCACAGATGTGAGTCATGGGGTAGTGAAGGTATCTGTCTGCTTTTCAGAGGGAAAGCCTGGGAATCAAGGTAGTATATGTGAAAGGGTCAGAGTCATGTGTACTTGAATGCTCTTAGACCTGGTAGCTCTTAGACCTGTTACCACTTCTGCAAAGCAACAAGTAAAGAGACTTTTACATGCAATGATTTTGTAAGAGTCTGAATTTTCATACTAATTAAAAAACGTTGGGCAATTCCATGAAGCAATTTAAGAGGCATGCACCACCTAGTTGAGGATTGAAAGTATTATTGTATGTGTATATGTTTTGTATGAAAGTATTATGTGAATTATATGTTTTGCCAGTGAAGCTGATTGGATTAATAGGCAGCCAACCAATGAAACAACACAGCACTGGAAGTGCCCACTGAGGATAAAACTGATGTGTTCTTAAGTGGATAGGGAGCCTGCTACTTGTCCAGAACTGTGTTTCTACAGACCAAGAATTCGTTTTCAATTAAAAAACTACAATTTGGTTCCATTGCAATCTATTATTTCATTTTCTCCTTCCCCAGATACTGTTTTTTAAACACAGTCTCATTATGTATTTTGGGCTGGCCTTGAGCTTTTGATATTCCTGTCTCAGCCTCCTAAGTGAACCACCATTCTTGGCTTCTTCATTTTTATAGTGAATTAACTGGTATACATTTATAAGCATATGCGCACGAGATGTGTGACTTGCCTCACAAAGCTATTAGATGAAGGAACCAGAACTTGTACTATATGAGTGGTCCCAGGCTCTATGTCCTTTTTCTGTTTCATGTTTCATCGTTTTTGTACATTCAATCAATACAAAGACTCTGTGTGTGTGTGTGTGTGTGTGTGTGTGTGTGTGTGTGTTAGTTCTGCCATCTGTGGTTACCACATGGATGTCTGCTGCCACTCCAAGGTCACATTGCGCCTCTTTATGTCCATGGGCTGAAAAAGATCAGGGTGGAAGAGGAGCCACAATACTAGGGAAATAAACCATTATTGCAGCCAGCAAGGGAGTGATTCCTGTCTTGTATTTCTGACCATTGTGTATGTCTTAGCCTTCAGTTACTTTTGTTCTTCAGTATCTGCAGGGGCTGAGTATTGGTGGAAAGTCAGCAGATGGTTTGTGTTGAACTCTTGAATCCCCTAAACCACCTTCAAATACAGATATTCCCTTTGGGTGGTTAACTGCTCTTGCAGAGGATCCAAATTCAGTTTCCAGTTAGCCTGTACCTCCAGCTCCAGGCATCCAGTACTCTTCAGCACTCCACAGGCACCTACACTCATTCATATATGTGTGTGTCTTAAAATATCTTCAAAATATTCTACTTTGTTGTAGGCCAAACCCAGATAATTTCAGGCACTAGAGGGGATGCTGCCCAGTGTCCACACTGAGCTAAGTGGAGGGTTCAGGGATGCTGTCTGATCTGTGAAAAGGCCAAGTGTTGCTCTACAAATTGAAGAGACCAGTTGAACCAAGCTGTAAATTTGTGAGAAGTCACACAAAGCGTTAGGAAGCACAGTATGCAGGGTTCTCTGTGTCTGTGCTCTAGAGAAGGGATGGTCACTTGGGATTCCTCATGTTCAGTTCCTGAGGAAGTAGATTATGAAATTCTGTACCATGCTAAGCATTCATTACAGAGTGTTAATCTCTTTTGTTTGCATCTAAACACTCTTCATGTGTCTTCATATTCTTTAATAAAATGCTTTGAGACATTTGATGGCTTTAAATGAACAGACCCTTGCTAGTAATTTATTTGCCTTACAACCTTTGTTAAGTTATGAGAATCAGTCTCCCCACAGAATTGAATGTATATAAAAGGCTTTGACTCAGCATTTGATCATACTGCTTTAAGAAAGGGTAAGGGTAGCTCACCACTCCCAGGTAGGCTTAAGAGCTGAAAGCAATATTTCCATCCTACTTTATCATATTTTACTTAGATGGTTAACCACAAAACAGGTGCAAGGTGTTTAAGTCATAGCAAGGCTCCTTCCAGAATCCACTGGGGGGGGGTGTGTCTCACTTTTTTTTTCGTGGTTTTGTTTTGTTTGACATGGGATTTTATTATGTAGTCCATGCTGGGTTCATGGTCCCAGAGCCCCCACACCCGCAGTGCTGGTATTACAGGTGTTTAACACCACACTCAATGCTTCTTCTATCTGATTTACTTACTTTTTCTATCTTATTTGAGTCTGTGTGCGGGTGGGGATGGTGCTGGATTGAATTTAGGGCCTTGTAGGTAAGTGCTTCATCACTGTTCCATCCTGCTTATTCTGTCTGAAAAACTTTTTTCTGTCGTGAAAGCATTATATTAGTAACTCAAGATCATCACCACCATCATTATTCACCGTCTTTTGCCCTTCCAAGTCACAAGTGTTGCATGTCCGTCACGTCAGAATGTTCATGTAGTTATTTCCGTGGCTATGTACCCTTAGGTGGCTTCTTAATCTGTAACATGAGGGAAACTGCAGCATCGACTGCAGAACGACGTCTGGACATTGAAATAATCTGATGCACAGTCTTGGCAGTACAGAACCCACCACTGTGTGAAAGTTCAGGAAGTCTTAATTAGTTGCTTAAACACAGGTAACTGTTCCGGAACTTCTCCCTGGGTGCAGTTATTTTCCCCTCTCATTCCCAAGCTCCCCCCAGTTCCTCCTTCTGGCCGCTGAAATACACGACAGCCCTTTCCCCTCGGCGTTTTTTACGGCGTCGCCCTCCCACGCGGCTCGCCCATTGCGACCTACCGTGTGCCCTCCTGTCACCTCGTGCACCAGAGTCTGGGGAGTGTGGGCGGGCGAGGCGGACTGGACTATAGCTCTCAAGGCAGGTGGCAGGCCCTGAGCAGGTGGCAGGAGGGGGACGAGGCCCTCAGACGCCCGGGACGCCTTAGGTTGACCAATCAGGAAGAGGCTTGCAACGCGCTCGCTGGAGCAGCCCTCAGGCAGCAGGTGCTGGGTGAGCGCGGCTCAGTGGAGAGAAGCGCAGTGCTGAGGGGGGCGGCACCATCGGGGGGCGGGGCTCCCTCCGAGGCGCGGGGCGGGACCACTGAGGGGGCGTGTCCCAGGCGGGGGCGGGGCCGGCTGAGGGGCGGGTCTCTCTGGAGAAGCGGACCTGGGCGGGGCCACCGCAGGGAAGGCCCTCAGTGGTCCAGCGAGAACCCGGACGGCTGCTCTGGGCGGGCCGGGGGCCGGAGGAAGGTCGCGCAGTGCAGAAGAGCTGCCGGCCTGGGTCAGCTCCTTCCTGCGGCGGGCTCGCAGCCCTCAGTCCCTCAGCTCTGGGAGCTCTGGCGAGAGTCTGCGCGATGGGCGACCCGGAAAGGCCGGAAGCGGCCGGGCCGGAGGAGGATGAGGTAAAGGTTGCAGTTGCTTCATCCTCCACCCCAGGGTCACGCACGCTCGCTCGCCCGCCCGCCCACACTTGGGGTTGCAAGTGGCTGCGGGAACCTGCAAGTCCCGGCTGCCGCTGTGCAGCAGTGTTGCTGTCGGCGCCATCAGAAGCCCAGGGCAGGCCGGGAGGAAGCGCCCGCACTGCAGGCTAGTGTGGGGGGAGTCGGGGGAGCCGGCCCCGCAAGGCTGAGGAGGGACGCGGGGCTCTGCTCAGGGCTAGCCCAAGACGACACCCGGGAAGGCCCCGCGCCCCCTGGCACCCAGTCCCTGCTCTCCAGCCTCCTCTTGTGTGAAACCGTGACGAGGGACAGGGCTGTGGCGGATCCTCCCAGGAGATGCGAGTCACCCGGGTTAAAAAGCTGAGGAACGCCTGTGGTGGACATGGGCACGGGCGGGGGAGGGGCGGGACAGCCTCACAAGGAAAACGAGTCGGGCTGGGAGGCCGCTTTTGCTCAGGCTGAACTGCTAACGTCTGGTTCTTCGTGTCAACGGCGGAAGAGTTGCTTCCTTCACCCAGAATGACCTGGCTGCATGCAAAGTGCCGCGGTGCTCAATAAACCTAAAATTAACTCACGCATCCCCTTTGCTTCCGTGCCAGGAGAAAGACGCACGGAAGAATGCAAATAAATACGAGGTTATAGGAATTAAAATTGTTACTGTATAGCTTCCAGGACCCCATTTTGGTCTAAGCCACTTGGAATATGAGTGATAAGGTGGTTTTTTTTTTGTATTTGTTTCTCTGTGTGGCGTCTTGAAATTCATACTGTGCTAATTTGGAAGGGACATGATAGTCTCAGCCCACAGACATTCATGCTTACAGCTGGCATTTCTATTAGACAAAAGTGTAGACTCTAAGTTGATTTTTATCTTGCAAACGTTTAGTGATAAATTGTGACTCTCCCTGATTTTTTTTTTTAATGGTTTAAACAAAGGTACTTAGTTTCAGTTTCTCCACTCAGATGAAATTTCAGATTTGCCACTGACACCAGGAGTCTCTCTGGCTTTAACACCTGGAAGTTTACTTTATTATTATTATTATTATTATTATTATTGATTCATAAAGACAGCAGAATTTTAGACTAGAATGAATTTTTGTGAGTTCAAAAGTTTTTGAGATGCAGGGATATCTTAAGCGCTTTGTTTCTCCAGATACAAACAGCAGTAGTGTGAGCTGTTTGTATCTGGATCATCTGTAGTAAGTAATAAAAACGAAACTACTGAGCCCACAGCCTGTACTTGTAACAAGAACTTGAGGTGATCTTAGTGCACGGTTGGTAGATGAGGTTTATGAGTCTCCTTATGTTATATGGAGATTTCGAATGTGAGTCTACAGAGAAAGGGGTCCCATCGAGTTCATCGTCCTGAGTACGTCCAAGATGAGAAAGCTCAGGCCAGAAAACCCTAAATGACATTTCTGACTTTCATTACTAGAGCTAGGTTCAACTCCCCAAGCTGTTGCTCCTGGGCCTGGCTTCCATCAGCTTCAGGTGTGTTGGTGATACAAGAGTACCTTTAAAAAGTATATAGCGGCTGCAGCCTGCACATAGTGGAATGCCACACCGAAGGGGTACCAGTACAGGACCAGAGCTGGATGCATGCCCAAGCAGTCTAGAATAGGTCACTGTGGGCGGCCATTGGGAAACCATGACCTAGGCTTTTCTCTCGGCAACTCTTCATGCCAGGTGACCAGAGACTAAGATAGTGGTAACTAAAAGCACGGGTTTGGTAAAAATGGTGGAGTCTTGCCAAAGAGTATCTACTGCCCAGCTTTAGGCTCTCATCACTTCATCCTTGTGTAGCTAAGGCTATGTTGTCTCTGCTTTCAGTCCGTTCTGCCATCCAGTCCTATTTACCACTGCGAAGTCTATCTTTCATTAAGTTAATGATTGTTACTTCCCTATACTAATTGTACAAAAGGCATCTCAAGCTCTTAATTCCCACAAAAAAAAGGTACCAGCAAGGTCCTAGCAAAGCCAAGTTTTTTAAATTCCAATTTTCACATCTTAATTTATGCTCCCGTGTTCTCATTTCCATTTCTGAAATTCATACATTATTTGTTATCAAAATCTAGTTGCCTTTCTCCCTCCCTCCCTTCCTCCCTCCCTCCCTCCCTCCCTCCCTTTTTTCTTTCTTTCATTCTGGTTTTCAAGGCTGGGTTTCTCTGTGTAGTCCTGGCTGCCCTGGATCTCGCTCTGTAGACCAGGCTGGTCTCGAACTCACAGAGATCCGCTTGACTCTGACTCCTTAGTGCTAGGATTAAAGACATGCACCATCACTGCCTGGCTTAGTTTCTTTTTCTAATTCATCCTATACATGCACTGTCTGTCTTCCAGGTGTCACCTCTATGATTGTTAATTCCTACTCAGAAACTCTTGATGATCACCCGTAGGAGTCATTCCATAATGTACCCCACAATGTATGTCAGCAGGTGGGAAATGAGAATATGAGCTTCTGTGTGCTACCATATCTTTGAAAACCTTTGCCCACAACGTTAATTTCCCCTTAGCCTGATTGATAGAACCTGGGTCCTTTATAGAATTCCTCTCATTTGTTGAGGCTTTAGCCAATTCAGATCACTTCTGCTTTTGCAGTTGTTTGTCCTACAACCTTTTCAGTCTGTTTCCCCCTGGCTTCTCTACTCTTCACAAGTTAGCATTATCTTCCTTACTCCCTTGTCCTTTTTTTTTTTTTAGTCTGGACCTCACTTACCCCAGGCTGCCCTTCAGAGTTTCTGTTAATCAATCCTGTTAATTTATCTTGAGATGCATGGATAGTCTTGGGCATTAGACTATGTGGCTAGTAGCAGGCTGCTTTCCGGAGCCCACTCATTTCTCTTTATCTAGTTGCACCTTACCAGGGTCAGATTTCTTTAGTTCCAAATCTATCATCATTAACCACCCTTTACTGCAATTCCATAGCTTAATGAATACTATGTAAACTACTTATGAATGTGAGGAGAAACACTGTAATGAAAACTCACATGGAAAGCTTTGGGAAACTCAGTAAAAGTGGGGTTGTTATAAATAATCATACAACTATAATCCCAGCACACAGGAGGCTGAGATGGAGAATCAAAACTTTGAGGCTAGTCTAGGTTACACAGAGAGACTCACCTCAAAAAAAAATAAGAATATTCTAAAGTTCTAAAGTATTATTTCTTACCACAGGACCACAGTTCTACCTATGGCACCATGGAAAGCCTTGCGTGAACCTTTTCAAATTGTATTAAAATATGCATTATGAAATTTTTCAACTCTGACCCGGTTCAAGTTAGTTAACCCTCTTCTCTTCACATGACAGAATACTTAATAATCTCTTTCTAATAGCCTCTTTTAATCCTTCATGAATTAATGTTATTGATACTCATGAATCCCACTATGCCTGTATTATGATACATTTATCAGGGTGGAACAGGAAGAAAGTATATACAAATGCCTCTTATATTCCATTTTAGAGGCAATGGTCTTCAAAAAGTTTATAAATCCTGAGACCAACCAGTTATGTATTAGGATGTAAAAACTCCAAGATCACAGTGCTTGGTGACAAAGTTTACTGCTTGTGTTTTCTTTCCCAACTTGCAGAATGCTCTATCTAGCAAATGGAATGATGGTAGAGATTTCTAGTTCTGAGTGGATATCTCAGTAATATGATACTTAGCATAGGAAAAATGCAGAATATTATTAACATGCAGTCAATTTCTTTCTAGAAGAATTAAAAGAGCAAGATGGGCCTCATGAATTCAAAATCCTTGTCGATTGAGATAGGGAGGCAGTTCATTTGGTAAAATGCCTGCTGTGTAAGTTCAGATTCCCAACAGCCATCTAAAATCCTGGCATTGATATCCCAGCGTTGGAGGTAGGGACAGAGACAGATTGAACACTAGACCAGCCAGTCTAGCCAATCAGTGAGTCAGGATTCAGTAGAGAGCAATAGAGAAAGATAACACACACACACACACACACACACACACACACACACACACACACAAACACCCCTACCTGTTTACTCTAGACCTCTGCCTTTTCTGTTTAGCCTCAGTTATAGCTAACATATTTGAGTATCTCTGTCTCTCCCTCCTCAGAGTTTCATAGTAGCCTAGGCTTGCCTTGAACTAGCACTCTTACTGTCTCTACCAAGTCCTGAGTGTTGGGATTTCAGGCATGTGCCAGCATGCCTAGTTGAGACTTACTCTCCAGCTATTCCATGAGTGTAGGAAAAACCTTTAAAAAGTTAATCAAAAGCATCTCAATAATCAATAATAACAAAATAATTTGAAAAGAACACAGCATTTGAGACTGTGAAAAATCTTGTTTGCTTTTGTAACAGTCCTTTGGTAGGAATGTGACAACTGCTAACCTGACTGAGAGCTAGGATGTTAACATGTCCATACAAGTGAGAACAACTCTGTACTATAAAGAATAATTTGAAATGTAAATGAGAATAACAGTAGAAATGATAAGATGGATAAAGGAGATAACATTGTTGGTAAGGAGATTTCAGCTAAGATTAGAAAAAGAAACATTAAAAATGTAGCCTTGTAACAGTGTCTCATTCACATCAATCAGCATTGTAAATCAGAGTGGCACTGGAGGGAGATTTTGTTCAAAAGCAGTAATTTTCCCACTGTTATAGTTTGTTGGTTTAGCATTGTCCTATGCGTACAGTAGCAGTAACCACAATAATTCCAGTGCTTACTCTGCACCTGGTGCAGCTTAAAGGATCTTTAATAATCAGAACAATCTTTTTTATTTTTATTTTTATTTTTTCGAGGCAGGGTTTTTCTGTAGATCTGACTGTTCTGGAACGCTGTCCGTAGACCAGGCTGGCCTTGGAACTGACAGAGATCTGCCTGCCTCTGCTTCCCCAACCTGTGCTGCCTCCCAGACTTCCCCCTAGATGTTTATTTAGGTTTGAGTCAGGGAGAACTTTCCACATTAAAAAAAAAGTGTACTTTGTTTTTTTTTTAAAAGCACTTGTCTTCAGATACAAAGGAGAATGTGTTGGAGCCAAGTGAAGAGCCACTCCTAAGAAAGAATTCCCGCCGGTTTGTCATCTTTCCAATCCAGTACCCTGACATCTGGAAAATGTATAAACAAGCACAGGCATCTTTCTGGACAGCAGAAGAGGTATGTCACCTCTTGCCTTATAGGATATTGAAATATTCTTACACATATTAAACTTTAACTAAGAGAAGACTCAGATTTAGTTTAGATTATTAGTTTTCACTGATAATAAATGTAATTATTAATTAACTTAAATTGAACGTATTTAGATTAATATCTGTAAGTAAGTTTTGGTACAAGGAAATTACATTTCATTCTGCCAGATTTTTTTCTGAGACAAGGTCCTTCTGTTAAGTTCATAGTCAAGATTCTTTTGCCTTTACCTTTAATATATTGTAGACCATTTTCTGTGTTTTAAGATGTATTTATTTTTAGTCTGTGAGTATGACTGTTTGCCTGCATATGTCTGTGTACATCATGTGTGTTACTGGTGCCCTCAGAAACCAGAGATTTTGGAGTCACAAGTGGGTGTGAACTGTCATATGAGTGCTGAGAGCCGAACCAGAGTCCTTTGCAACAGCAGCAAAAGCCTTAACCAATGAGCTATCCCTGAAGCCAGTCCACCCACAATTTTTATTTTTAAATAGATTCTTAGTTTGCTATGATTAAGTAAGACCAGTCTTGGGTTTTTTCATGCTCATTTGTTTGTTTTTATAGTTACTCATTTATTTATGTGTGCACGTGTTTGTGGAATTGAACTGATGGCACCAGGCTGAACCCTTGGCAGCAAACACCTTTACTTGCTGAGCCATTTCGCCAGTCCTCACACTAGAACAAACAAAATTGCAGCTGCAGTTTAAAAAAAATGAAGTGAGAGCCAGTCAGTGTTGGTTCACACCCTTCACCCCAGCACTCTGGAGGCAGAGACAGGCCAGTTCCCAAGTTCAAGGCCAGCCTGGTCTACAGAGTGAATTTCAGGACAGCCAGGGCTACACCGAGAAACCCTGGCTCAGAAAGACAAAAAACAACAATAAAAATGGAAGGGTGCAGGCTGTAAGGACCCTACACTAGCTTGAGAGGTGGATCTGATGAACAAAGCTGCAGTCCTGTGGACATTCTCACCATCCCAGTGAATTTACAATCTAGCTCTGCCTTCAGCTGCAGCAAAACTCAGCCACTGTAGCAGGGCAGCCATTGGTTACTTACCATCAGTGTAACTTTTTCCACCTTCCAAGTGAGTTCAATCCTGCTGGCTTAATGAGAACAATTAGTCGTGCAAATGACTGCTGTATAGTTTAACTGCACACACAAATAGTTTTTGTCTTTACTGTTTAATTATTTCTTATTGTTTATGATAGCCACACAATACTCCACACTATATGTACCCATAAGTATCTCTACGTCTGGACAGCTGTGTCTATGTGAATAAATGTCTTTAGATCTGTCTGCCCCTTAGTCAAGAGACCAAATGTGGACTAGCAAGATGGCTCATTGAACAGAAGCATTTTCTGAACAAGCCTGGTGGCCCGAGTTTGATTCCCAGAACCCACAGTGGAAGGAGTGGACTACCTCATGAATTTTCCTCTGATTGCTACCCATGTGTTATAGCACACACATGATCCCTTCCCCTCTCCCCTCCTCTTGTACACACACACACACACACACACACACACAATAAATGGTTTTGGAAACAGACCAAGCATATCTATGGAAACAACGCCCTGTGAAGGATGCAGGGTCTGAGGCCAGGCTGCTTCAGGACAGACCCTGTTCTGTCACATCCTGTCTCTCATCTTTCTCTGCACCCTTGCTGCTAAGTTGTGCTAACGCTATGTGACACATTGGCTTGTTAGGATCAGTGAAGTAGTTATGATATCATATTTGACATTTGATAATCACTTAATAAGTGAAAACTATGATTTCATACAAAGGGTGGAGACATATTTAAAGATACCAATGTCTGCAATTGTTTTTACACTCTCTTCAGATACTGACATACCTTTCTTACACTGCCAGCATTGCCATGAATTGTGGCTGACATATAGAGCAAAACACCCAACCGAAACAAGCACCCAGGGTTTTTACAGTAAGTCACCTGGCTTCCTGTTTGCTTGTGGCTTTTAGAAAGCTTTTGTGAGATATGGTTCAGAGAGCAAGTAGAGCATACAGTTGGCCCTTTTGTTTGTCATGTTTGAAAAGGGGACTTGTCATATTTGGGGTTCTGAAAGTTCATTAGAAATTAATTGCTTCTTTTAGATACTGTAATAAACGTTTATGACCAAAAATTACTGATTTTAAAAATTAGAATACATAGGTTGATACAGATTTTTCAGGAAGGTTCAAATACATGTTTTGAAAGGAAGTCAAAGATATTTTTAGTCCCACATATCAAACAAATGATGTAAAAAAAGTTAATTAACTTTATATTTCAGATTTTAAATCAGTGGTTGAATTTAATTCCCAAATATTAGGCCCTGACTCAGAAGACAAAGTATAGGCTTGGAAATTTTCTAAAAGCCAGTCAGGCAATTCTGATAATCAGCTTTCTGTTACTATAACAAAAATACCGAAGAAAATCAAGTTATATCGTAACAGTGGTGTAGGGAACCAATTAAGCCTTTGCTTTAACACACAGGCCTCTGGGGAATGAGGAGGATCTGAAGCTGTGGCGGCAAGTCTGGAATCAATATCTAGATGCTGAAATTTAGGATGAGTTCATATGAGATATATAATCAATGTGTAGGGCATTTTAAAGCTCGGTGTTTAAAAGCTCGGAAGAGGCAAATTTAATATTTAAAATGAAACTTATTGCAGACTGGGTTCCCATTGCTGTGATAAGACACCGTGACAAAAAGCAACGTAGGGAGGAAAGGAGTTACTTCAGCTTACAGCTGTAGCTCATTGCCCTGAGAAGTCAGGGTAGGCACTCAAGGCCAGAACCTGGCTGCTTGATGGCTTGTTCTTTATGCTAAGCCTGCTTTCTTATAGCACCTAGGACCACAAGCCTAGGGATGGAAACACCCTTAGTGAGCTGGGCTCCAATCAATTAAGAAAAGACTCTACAGGCTTGCTCACAGACCAGTCTGGAGTATGGGGGAGGGGGACACGTTAAGCTGACATGAAACTAGCCAGCACAATTGATGACTCCTTGTCAACTTGACACAAACACATCATTATTAAACCATAACCATTCATTTCTTGCTCTTCCCCAAGACTTCGCATTAATAATAGTTTTTTGTTGTTGTTGTTTGAGACAGGGTTTCTCTATTGTTGTTGTTGTTTATTTATTTATTTATTTATTTTTTTGGAGGCTGTCCTGGAACTAGCTCTAGGCTGGTCTCGAACTCACTGAGATCTGCCTGCCTCTGCCTCCTGAGTGCTGGGTTTAAAGGTGTGCGCCACCAACGCCCAGTCTTAGCAATAGTATTACAATATAAAACTTTTAAAACTTTTAAAAGTCCCATGGTCTTTACAAATTCAAACACTTTAAAGGGACAGTCACTTTAAAATATTCAAATTCTCTCCGAAACTCCAAAGCTGCTCCAAAACTTGGAAATCTTTTTATGATGAAGGCTCTTACAGTGGCTTCTTGTATAAAAAAAAGGTTAAATACTTTCTTCCTCCAAGTGGGAAGAACAAGGGCATATAGTCACAACCAAATCAAACTGAAACCAAAGTCCAACAGAGTAAAAAGTTCAATGTTGTTCATTGGGAATTCACTCACGATGTTCGGCTCCCACAAAGAGCTCAGACTGATTCTCCTCCTTGGTAGTTGTCCCATGGTACTGACATCTCCAAAACACTGGACTCTGTACCATGAAAAATAAAAGACCCAGAGATAGATATTGGTGTTCAAGCTTCAAGCTGAAGATCAGAAAACAAAGCAGACAGCCACTAGCTCTTACCTCTGCCTCAGACTGAAAGGGTTGATTCTGTCTCCATGAGCTCTCCACCAAGCCTCAGTCTTCTGCCTCTCCTCAGCGTGGCTGGAGAATAATGCCAGCTCTGAGATCCTGTTTCTGTCTTAAATACCTGTCATGACTTCTGGGGTTAAAGGCATGAAGTCTGTTACTCTTTTAGACTGATTCAATCTTGTGTAGCCCTGGGTGGCCTTGAACTCAGAGAGATCCACCTGCCTCTGTGTGTGGCACCACTACCTGGCTTCTTTGCTATTTTGATCTCCAGTGGCTTTAATCAATCATAAACAATATATCACCACAGGATTTGCTGCTGTACCTGGGCTATATCTTCATCAGTAGACCTTTCTGTTCTCGTGTAAACTTGCCAGGTCGTGGGTGCCAAGCTCCATGTCTTTGCATAGCCCTTCATCCTAGGGCTTCAGCTGTGACCCAGGTCGCACTTCATTGATGGCAGCACATGACCTTTGAGGGACTCTAGCCCTGCCACCCAGTGCCAAGCTTCAGCTGCTCTTGAGGGACCCTCATGCCTTCAAAACCAGCACCACCTGTGTACTTGTGTACAACCGGGTTTGGCTGCCAGAGTGTGATGCAGCCTTGGTCCCTGCAGGACCACAAGTTCTGTGTGCTGATGCCAAGGGGACATTTATAGACTTAGGGTCCTCTGATGCTAGTGTCTTCTTAATCACTGCCAGTTTCTCAGTCCCAGCTGACCAGCATCAATTGTCCCAGTAAAGCAAAGGTTTCACTTGGGTGGTTCAGGTCTCTTGTTAATTACAGCTGACTCTTCATCCCCAGCTGATCAGAACTACAGGCTCTTAATTCAGGACAGTAACATATAGTGCCCCTAGGAGTCTTAAAGGGACCCTCAAACTTGCTCTGCAACTTCACACACCAGGCCTCCATGTATCACTCTCAATTGAGGCTCCTTCTTCCAAAATGACTCTGTGTCAGTTGGACTTATACTTAGTTAGCACACACCCAGATCTTGGACTTATGCTTCCAGAACTTTGAAAAATAAATGTTTGTTTTTAAGCCATCCGGTCTATGGTGACTTATAGCAGCAAGAGCCAGCTAACAGTAAGGTACATTGAAGGAACACTTGAAACCAAAAAAAAAAAAAAAAACCAACCAAACAAAAAGGTTTGGATTACTCTCTTAGTTCCAAAGAATATTTTTAATAAGCATTTTCAAAGGTATTTCTATTCTAGAAGAAGCCTGTGTTTGTTAGGTGGTTTCTAAGTTTCTGTTGTTGTAATGAGACTCTATGATCACAGCAACTCTTTTTTTTTTTTTTTTTTTTCCTTCTCCTACTCTTATTGGGGGCCTGCCATCCAGCTTTGAAAGAAATACATGGAGACTTATTCTTACATGAATGCCTGGCCTTATCTTGGTTTGTTTCTAGCCAGCTTTGCCAACTTAAATTATCCTGTTTTCTCTTCTTCTATGTTTGACCACAGCAACTCTTATAAAAGAAAACATTTAGCTGGGGCAGGCTTATAGTCAGAGGCTTAGTCCATTATCATCATGGCAGGACATGGCAGTATGCACACAGACATGGTGCTGGAGAAGAAACTGAGACTTCTACATCTTGATCTGCAGGCAATAGGAAGTGAACTGCCCACCACACTGGGTGTAGCTTGAGCATATAAGAACTCAAAGCCTGCCCCCCAGTGGCACACTTCCTCCTACAAGGCCATCCCTACCCCAACAAGGTCACACCTAATAATGCCACTCCCTGTGGGCTAAGCATTCAAGCACAAGTCTATGGGGGTCATTCCTATTCAAGTCACCACAAAGCCATACCTGTAAACTGCTTTAAAACCTAGGTTGTTATCTTCCTGACATGATGACTTCCCAGTCAAGAAGAGTAACTGGCAGTTAGCATAGAGGCTATAATTAGTTACAGGTACTGAATCTATCTAATACTATAGTAACTATTGCACGAAACACATAACTGCTGAGACATTAGTTTACATACTTTATATACTGGACTAGTTTTTACTTTCTCTTTCCTTTTGGTTCATCATCCACTAGCTTTATTAATTTCAATATTTTAAAAATGTAACCTGGCTACCTAAATTAGCCCCAAAGCAGATCCCTTCATAAACGCCCTTCCCTTCTTTCCTCAGTCCCCTTTCTCTCCTTCCTTCTCCCCTTTCCCACTTCCTGAACATGCTAGGATTGTTTTGTTTGTTTAAACAAATTTTACTGGATAAGTCTGAAGTATAGATAAATCATGGTGTTGTAAAATGTGCATGCACACATGTACACACATGCATACACTTTTGACACATTTATACATGTGTATAAACTTTCTCCCACTAACAAACATATATGCTGTCTCATGTACTTAATCTACTTCCTCCCATGTGGCAAGAGCAGTTATAATTACTAGTTAGGTAAATGTTCTGAGTACAGCACATTATTATTAACATACTATTTATCTTAATTTGATTTTTGTGATTTTTTTTTAAATGTTTTTTCTTTCTGGCATAGCTTTTCTTAACTTTAAAGTGAAAGTTCTCTAAATTCTTGAAGTGAAGAACAGTTGGAGTGTTTTATTCTAGGTTGACTTATCAAAGGACCTCCCTCACTGGAACAAGCTTAAGTCAGACGAGAAGTATTTCATCTCCCACATCTTAGCCTTTTTCGCAGCCAGTGATGGGATTGTCAATGAAAACTTGGTAAGATTTTTATTTTACTGTTCCTATTTTGTACTTGAATGACGTTGTTAAAGAGATCACTGTAGATCCTGACTGAGGGAAGAAAGATGTTTGAATAATAGACTAGATGAAGCTTAATTTCTGTGTGGGTTATGTGTGCATGTACAGGTAGGGCCCAGAGAAGGATGCTGGCTATCTTCCTCTGTTGTTCTCTGCCTTATTCCCTGAGGGAAAGTCTTTTCATTGAACCCAGATCTCACCATTATTTGGCTAAGTTGACTGTCCAGAGAGCCCCAGGGAGCTCCCTGTCTCTGACAACTCAGCACTGAGGTTGCAGGCTCACAGACACATGTTAGGGAATCCAAACTCGGGTCCTTATGCCAGTGTAGCAAGCATTCTTACCAGTAAAGGTGTCTCCCAAGGCACCAAAGCTTAATTTTTGAGTATATTTTTCTCATGAAGTTTCAGAGGAAAAGATAGTTAACTGTCAAATGACTAGCAATATATTATGGAGTCAATAGTAAACTATGCCAATTAAAACTATACACAGTGTGGGGCTGAAGATGTCCCTGACTAACAGTGCTTGGATAATCATTATAGAGGCCCTGAATTTTAGCCTCAGCAATGTGAAAACAAAATCCAAAATTGCACAGCATTCATAAATTTGATTTTTTTGCCTCTAATAATAAACTTAATAAAGAATATGCCCTTAATAGCTGTCTGCAGCTCTGTGTAGATCTAGGGTCCGCCCCTCACATAGGAATCATGTTATGATTAGTTAGGAAGATTAGGTTTTTGTTAAGGAGAGTAGAAGTAAGAACATCCAGGATGAATGAGAAAAACTTTAACGGATCTGTCTACTATTAGGAAAAAGTTCTACAAGGCAGAAAGCACTGCTTTTGACACATATTCTAATATTTATCTGTTCACTAGGTAGTGTTTCTACTTGAAAGATAAATTTGTCCCGTTGCTTAGGAACACATTCCATGGTGTTGTGGGCATAGCTCAGTGAGCACCTGCCTGGCATAAGTAAAATATTGGCATCAATCTCCAGCACTAAAGTCAGTCTCCAGTGCTAAAGTTACCTGGCTAAACAGTAAGATGCTGCTTTAAAAGACCCATAAAGGCTGAGTATGGTGTGCTCACCCAGCATGAGTAAGATACTGGGTTTAACCCTGGAAGCCACAAAACAAGAAAGAAGATTAATAAGGTTTTTATGTCCTATTTGCTGTATAACAGTCACCCCCCCAATATACTAAAATTTTGCGTGTGTGTGTGTGTGTGTGTGTGTGTGTGTGTGTGTGCGTGTGCGCATGCCCACGGTGTGTATGTAGAAATCAGAGGACAACTTGGAGGAGTTAGTTCTTTTCCCTTCCATTATGAATGGAACTCTGAACTCTGGTCATTAGGTTTGGCAACAAGCAGTTTTAACTGCTAAGCCTTCTCATTGATCACTTTTTTTTTTTTTTTTTTTGGAGACAGTCTCTTGCCGTGTTTCCCAGGTTGGTGTTGAAATCAATATCCTCCTGCCCAGCTACTTGAGTGTTAGAAAAGACGAAAGATTTTTAAGTGTGAACGCTGATGTCACGCTGTACTTGCAGCGTGTCACCAGGGTTCTGTGGGAGCCTGCTTACTGGAGCTTTCTGTTTCCCTCCTTTCTGTAGGTGGAGCGTTTCAGTCAGGAGGTGCAGGTTCCAGAGGCTCGATGTTTCTATGGCTTTCAAATTCTCATCGAGAATGTTCACTCGGAGATGTACAGTTTACTAATAGATACTTACATCAAAGATCCAAAAAAAAGGTATTAATGGGGGGTGGTATTTATGAAGGTTTAGCTCTTTGCTTACATTAAAAGTAAAATTTATTCCAAAACTACAATGTTATTCACATTATTCACATGTGGAAGTTCATGAGTATAGTTTTTCTATTGCTCAGTAATGTGTTAGATTAAAGGCCTGGCATAAAACTAGTTAGTCTTTAGATGATTAATACCATCTCAAAACTTTGTATTTATAAATTGTATATTTGTATTTTATT